CTTTGTGTATTCTTTATTCTTTTTCTTTGTATATTTCAGTTTACGTATCAATAAAAATATAAGCGATTTAGGGGGCGATTCAGAACCTTACGATAACTTTGTTGTCGATCGAGTCGATTAGATATCGTAAGATTTCTTTTCATTTCTAACAGACTTCAAAACAAGGAGGAGGTTCTCAATTCGACTTTTTGCTTGTATATATGTTACTCGATAACTCCGGTATTTATGAACCAATTTTCAGGACTCTTTTCTTTATTGAAAAGAGGGTACCTTCATAGTGGTCCCATTTCATTTTGAAGAAAATCATCCACCTCTAAGGGTGGCTGATCACCCATGAACATTCATTTTTATAAATAGCGCCTAAATTTTACTTAAGGAGCAATTATTTTAATGGTTGGTTTTGCTATTCTGCAATTCAAGGCGTTTTTCTCTCTTAATACACTTTAAGTAGTGAGAACCGATTTTTATTATCTCCTATGTCAAGCCCCGTATAGTGGCGAACTAGGGGATATTTCAATAAAACTTTCCACGGACTTTTGAGGTCGGGTTTTTTAGTACTCTGTACTGAGATTATATTATTATTATTCACAATAACCGAATGGAACGTCAAACAGTCGTATTCGAAACCGAACCGAAATGACATCACTCCCGTACGATTACTCCAACTTCTCGACCGGCAAAGGCTACAAACGTTATTCAGAACACAGATATCGAATGAAAGTTACCGAATGTCCTATTGTTAACAAAGCAAGAATGTAATATGAAAATATTTTATTATTTTAAATAAAAGTCCATCGATCGCATCTTTCAAACACAAATTAAAAGAGCACTTCTTATCGAACGCGTTAGTTAGTTAATCGGTAACATATATGTATATAAACTAGTAATTTGTTATTATAATATATATTGTGGTTATGTATGTATTTATGGATATAAAGTTCATGTATATTACCATCATTTATATTTTATTTTTAGTCACATTTAAATTTTAATTTTATTGTACGTATCTTGTTCCGTTGCATTGGAGCCGATTTTCGAACAAAAATGTGTAGTCTGGTGTGCCGTTGTCCGTACAATAATTTAGTCCCGCAGACTTCACTTTTACACCACGGCTAAGGTTGGCTGGAAGAGATCTCTTCTAGAGATAAGCATACCTTTGTGTATGTCCTTTGTAACGTGTGTTTTATGTGTCTTTTCTTTGTGCAATAAAGAATTATATATAAAATTTTTATTTTGTTCAATTTTATTAATTTATTTTAAGACTAATGTATTCCTATATTTTCGGCCTTTAAAGCCTTAAAAATGTATAAAAAGGATTTAATTTTTCTTATAATCTATATTCGCCGACTAACTCCGTAAACGTTGTTGGATAATGATATCGTATGCGAATCCAAATCGAACGTTTTAACTCGAATGTTCTGAATAGCTCGGAAAACACCCTTCGATTCGAGAACGATATAAAAACGAACGATTCGGTTAAGATATCGAAGAGTTCTGAATCGGGGTCCAGATCCAGAAAAAATAGAGATTATTATTTATATTTACTTAAATAAGGTATTTATTTAAAACACTTTAATTAGAAGATAAAGATATTTGGTAGCACCCCTCTTTCCAACTCTTAAACTTCTATCCTAAAGTTGCCTTGAAGAAATTGGTACTTAGCAATAAAGCCGCCTGTTGTACATTAGCTAACTTTGTAATACTTAAATTACTGTTTTGTGATGTCATTGTAACTTTTTATGGGCAATAAAGAATATTTCATTCATGCATTCGTAGATTAATTTCTAAAATAAATAACAATTTAACTACCGACAGTTGTGCTTTTAGTCTCGTAAGTATTATAATAAATATTAGACCACATCACATACCTATGTTGCTCTGATCCCAATCTAAGTAGGTAACTAAACTTAATGTTCTGTGTTATAGAAATCGGAAACTTAAAGTAGTTTTTACAGTTGTGGTTTTTGTTTCGTCAGTATTATCATAAATATTAGATAATATCACACACGTTGCTCTGATCAAAAACTAATAACTAACTAACTAGTTTTTGGTTAGTTATTTTCTATAACACAAGCGTTATAGAAAAAATAAACAACGATGATACCACAAACACCCAGACACGTGGCAATATAGAAGTTGTTTTCAACATTAACCCGACCGGGGATCGAACCCAGACCTCGGAGATGGCGACACCATGAAAACCGGTGTGCAAGCTACTCGACCAATCTCTCTCTGTCTCCCATTCATCGATCACGGAGTTGTGGCGTAGTTTGCATAAATCACTCACAGATCATAACGATCTGCGAATTTTTAACCGACTTCAAAAAAGGAGGAGGTTCTCAATTCGACTGTATGTTTTTTTTTTGTATGTATGTTACGCGATAACTCCGGTATTTGTGAACCGATTTTCATGATTCTTTTTTTGTTGGGAAAGGGGGTACTCCCATAGTGGTCCCATTTAATTTTGAAGAAAATCATCCACCTCGAAGGGTGGCTGTTCACGCATGAAGATTCATTCTTATAAATAACGCCTAACTTTAATTTGGGAGCAATTACTTTAATGGTTGATTTTGCTATTTCTCCAATTCAAGGCGTTTTTCTCTCAATATACTTTGTGTTGTGTCGTAGTGAGAACCTATTTTTATTATCTCCAGTGTCAAGTCCTGTATAGTGGCGAACTTGGGGATATTTCAAAAAAACTTAGCAAATAGACGCAATTCCACGTACTTTTGAGGTCGGTTTTTTTAGTACTCTGTACTGAGATTAATAAGTTGACTGAACCTCCTTTTTGTAACAACCTAAAATAATTAATGCATGACATACAACCGTAACCTTTGTACGAGTCCGAGTTTGCATAAATGTTTAATCCAATCAAGCTAATACGATTTAGTCGGTAAACAGCTTTTATTATGATGGCCCGCATGTTAGGATTTGTTGGGTAGGGTCGGATTAGTATTTCAGGGACATAAACATGTCTAACTCTAACCATCACTAATATGAAACTATTGTATGAAACATCTAATTTAGCAGTAGTAGAGCTCCTTACGAAAGAGTTCGTCAAGGGAAGTACTGCCACCTTGCCTATTTCTGCCGCCAATTAGTAATGTGACGTTACCGCGTTCAGGTTTTGAAGGGTAAGTTGCTGGTGAAATTTCCAACATTACATTACAAACCTCACACATTACATACATCGAGTCATTCGGCTTTGGGCTTTTAACAAACTCGTTAGTAATCTGTTATTTACCGTCGTTAATAATACAATGTACTATTTCATCACACTTGCTCGTAAACGGTGCCCTATCATGCAGGCAAAGTCGGCTGCAATGTGCTGAATTACGCCCACGAGCTTTTTCTTTTTTTTTTTCAACGCAACACACTCATAGCCCTGTGTCGCGGGTGCCATGGACACACACATAGACAACCACAAATGACACCTAAACTCGCGAGAAAAAATAAAGTCAAATTGAAAACCTCCCCCTTTTTTTTAAGTCGGTTTAAAATTGTACTAAGTGACGATCGATAATCTCTGCCCAACCCATTAGTTATCTAGAGGCGTGTGTAAATATATACGCACTGTTAATACCATACTGTATAATTTAAAGAATCGATGAAAAACGAATTACCCACTTCTCGTGAAAGATTATTAATATTTATGTATATGTTAAAGTTTCTGGCAGACATGTAAACAATTTCCTACTTAAGTGTTTTATTGAATGTCAGGATGTTTCACCATCATGACATTCAATTGTTTGTTGTGGAATTACTCCACTAGTTTGTTACAATTATTAATAAAAATTTAGATCGAACGGATAAAAGGTCGTTAAAATCCAGATCAGATACAAAGAGACAACAAACACATATAAAAATTCGTGAGGTTGGCTGGTTCGTTCCGTATTTTTTTGTGGAATTACTCCAGTAGTTTGTTAGAATTGTTAGTAAAAAGATCGAACAATTAAGCTACGGCTCAAAGTCGTTAAAAACCAGATACAAAGATCCGACAACAAACACATATAAAAATTCGTGGGGTCCACTGGTTCGTTCCGTACTTTTTGTGGAATTACACAACTAATTTGTTACAATTATTAATAAAAAGATCTAACACTTAAGCTACGGCTAAAAAGTCGTTAAAAACCAGCTACAAAGATCCGACAACAAAAACATAAAAATTCGTGAGGTCCGCTGGTTCGTTCCGCATTATTAGTGGAATTACTCCACTAATTTGTTACAATTTATTAATAAAAATTCGTAAAAACCAGATTCAAAGATTCGACAACTAATACATAAAAATTCGTGAGGTCCGCTTTTACGTTCCGTGGCTTAGTTGGCATAGCGTATGGCACAGTTTGCTAGAAGACGTTATTTTAAATCCGGCCGGATCGAAGGAATTTTTTCTAAGTGTATCTTTAAACTGCCTCCGTGCCGAACGGTGACCATGCCGGACCCAGAGCCATCGATTCCCGGGCCGGGAGAAATATTTGCATGGCCTACATTTATTTCTTTCGTGAGTTCGGGTGTAATTTGTGTTTGTCTATGTGTGTGTCCATGGTACCCGCGACACAGGGTTTCCCTAGTGCGGAGCTACGTTGGGTGTGTTCGTTATTACTATTATTTTAATAATAATTATAATTTTCTACTAGCCAAATACATTTAAAAATAAAAGAGAAAAATATTTTCATATTTTTGAATAAGGACTGTTTTGTCCAGAACTTGCTCACCTTTTTCTGTTCTATAACATTTTGAGTTAAATAGACATCTTGTAATTGTTTTTACAATATTGTTTTATGACGTATGGAGAATGAAATTTTACGTTCGCCCATAGTATAATCTTATAAGTTCACATATTTTGAGTTACAACACCATTGTAATAGCAGTGCCATATAATAAATATACTATTTTGTATGGGCCCCGTTTTACAATTTTTATTTAAGAATTTTATCATTATTCCCTTTTGCGAGGAGTAGCAGTCGCTAGACCTAAAAATATTTCCTTTTTTCTTTCAGATATGACATCAGCCACACTGACTCTGCAAGGGGAGTGGAAACAGTACTCCGGCTGGGAAGTCACCTGTTCTTGGGACATGAAGAACGATACACTCAACGCCGTGCGACTCATGAGGAATGCCCATCAGTATTTCATATTTAGACCTGACGTAAGTACTTTTTATCCTACTGCGTCAGCAGGAGGGTATTATGCATTGGGCAAACATTATGAAATATCCGTTGTTGGTTAAAATCCAACTTATATTTATATTATTTTATATTTTTCCCCACAATCGGAAAAGCTTTCTTTCTCATTAGAAATTTACACGCAAAAGCGTTTTTTCTACGCTAGCGTGGAAAAGGTTTTTGAAAGTCGAGCTTGACGATGGATATTGATGCACGTAACTTTTTCTTTCGATGAAAAAAAACATAAAGAGACATTCAACTACGCGATTACAAATCCGTAGGTATAGTTTATTCATATTATTGTTGACATTAAATTGACAACGATAATTAGTTTTGTTTACGTCATAGTTCAACTGTTTTTCTTTCATTTACCATTTTCCTCGCTATAGTGAGGTGAAAAGTTGTATGCTTCGCTCGGCAGCAAAGTTGTTTTGCGGCTCGTGTCTTGAAAGCCTCGCTACGCTCAGGATTCTATTTTTGAATTCGCTTCGGTCGTGGTTAATAATTACAAGCAGTCAAATAACAAGTTTGCAGCCTTGCATAACAAATAAGTATTATTATTTTGTTCAAATGGGGTATCAATTGCCCATTTTCTGTATTTAAGTGAATGACTTCCTAAGTATGTCAATAATTAATAATTCACTTAAGTAGATAGGTACTGGAAAAACACATTGCATGCGTAGTGTATTCTACATTTTTTTTTGTTTACCTAATTTCAGTTATTTTGTATGCAGTCCAGTTTTTTATAGAACTTTTTATTTCCAGCTGAATCTTTTTGCAGTCGAGTTTTTGGTTTTTTAAAATAATTTATTTACATCACATATGATACTCGTAGTAGGTAATTTGGCGATCGATCGAGCGTAATTTCCCGTAAGCCCGTGACTCTAAGCCGACTAACAAAATCTCCTCTATGGTGGCGGAGCTGTATGGCACGCACACTTCCCGACGCCGAAAAACGGCGTCTCTCCAGTTCCCGAATTCCTACTCGGCTGGAGATAAGGTGTCTCTAATTTTTAGTAGCAGTAGAGCTTCTTGTGAAAGAGTTCGTGAAGGAAGTAGGTACTGCCATCTTACCTATTTCTGCCTCCAAGCAGTAATATGAGCATTACCTACTGCGTACCAGTTTGAAAAGGTTAAAAAGCTGATGATGAAATTACAGGCATGGGACTTATTAACTTATGTCTCAGAGTGACGGGCGCAATAGCAGTGCCCCTAAGATCTTTGCGAGTAAAAGCTCTGAGTGGCACTGCAGCTGTTATGGATAGGCGTATGTCTTACCACCAGGCTCCCGACTTACTCGTCCCGTCACTTGGTATTATAAAATAAACGCGTAGCTGTGTCTTTGTCCACCATTTTTAAGAAATTTTAAATTTTATTAAGATCGTTAGGGACACCGTGTGTCTCTGGAACGCGAGACGGGATATTTGTATGGTAAATAAAAAAAAGTACGTGAAAATTTTTAATTCAGTATAACATATTTTTCAAATGTTAAAATTGCTTTATTAACAGATAATTAATAAATAAAGCAAGATTTCTGGCATTTGAGTGATGGACACCATTGTACTTAAAAGCAAATATTAAAATTCTTAATTATTAAAATATACCTTAAATATAAAGAGCAGGGGTAGCCTTTTGGGAAAACATTGCGTCTGATTTTAAAAAGTCGATGGTTTAAATCCCTAGAGGCATGTCTATGACTTTATTTTTTAAATTACGTATTTTAATTGCTAATAAACATTGTGAATATTTATCAGCAATACCTACCGCTAACGGTAAAAAAAAAACATCCTGTTGAAACCTTGCATAACAAAGAAGGTTCACAAGTCTTGGAACATGTATGAAGTTTCGTTAGCAGTCCTCCTTGAGAAAGTTAGTCCAGGGAAGTACCCAGGTATATTACTGCGTTCCGACTTTGAAGGGTAAGGCTGCTAGTAAAATAACAAGTACATGGAACTTGTCAACTTGTGGGTCGAAACATGCGGTTTCGTGCGGCAAAGCATCTCACTGTCACGGTTCGGATGGTCATTCCTCCGAATATCGACAACCGTACTGACAGGGATAAGGGACAGGGATCCTAAAAAGAGTGTTGCACTGCTTTTATTGATAAGCATATATATGTAAAAACACAAAGAAGATTAACATCGCAGGAATACGCGATGCGTCGTGCGAGCACGTAGATTTCTGCGATGCGACGTCGCATCTACGTCGTCGTTTGTGTTTCGAGTCCATGTCGCAGGGTGGCGGGCGCAGTGGCAGTGCCCTTCAGATCTTTACGATTTAAGCTCTGAGTGGCACTACAACTGCTATGGACGCCTGTTCGAGTCGTCACTTAGTCTCATAAAAAAGTTCCCCAACTCTCATTGAAACACCATAACCGACTATGCATTCTCCGCAGACACACCCGTGTCTAGCAGTGGAAGATACTGTGTTGATTATGTTGCATTGTAAATGATATAGGTATGTAAATTATTTTTAGACCAAATTTTAGATTTGAGCAAAATTATTAAACATCGGGAAACATTTTAGATACAAATATTTTTCACGACGTCCCGGGTATAAAAAGCTTTGTCTTAAAATCTTAAGGGATGAGGGGTTTTAATCAGGCTTAAAATGTTAAAATAAGATTAAGTATGTTTATTTATGACGACTCATAATAATTGATACATACCTAAGTGAAAAATGAATTTCTTAATGTTTTTTCTACAAAAAAACACGGTATATAAGTAATCTACAATACTTTAATACTAATAATGGTTAGCCTATAATGGTCCCACTGCTGGACACAGGCCTCCTCTCATAGTGAGAGGCCTGTCCTGTAGTTCCCACGTGGGTCCAATGTGGATTGCGAACTTCACACACATCATTAAATTGCTTTGCAGGTGTGTACAGAATACCTCACGATTTTTTCTTCACCGAAAAGCTCATGACTAAAATTTTGTACATAAATTCCGAATACTCAGATGTGCAAACCCGGATTCGAAACCACGACCTTCTGCTTGAAAGGCGATAGGTCAAACCATTAGCTGCCATAAACTGCGTCCATGGCCGAACGGTTACCACGATGGACTGCCCCGTAGAGGTCTCGAGTTCGATTCCCGGGCCGGGAGAAATATTTGTATGGCCTACATTTATTTATCTCGTGAATTTGGGCGTGATTTTTGGTTGTCTATGCGTGTGTTCATGGCAACCGCGATACAGGGTTTCCCTAATGCGTGTATGCGTTATTATTATTACTAGGCTGCCACAGCTATCAAAAATCTAAATTTATGTCTAGTATTAATGAAACGTCTTTTCAACTTGTTTGTCCTACAAACAATGGTGTCGAAACATAGACGTTTAATACATAGGTATAGCAAATTGCAATTGAAAATCGAATATGAGATGCACAAAGGGCCATGGAGCGCGCCATGCTCATGCTCTCCGAAAAAACTCGAAACAAATCCAATGTCGTATGAAAGTTCACATTGGGCACCGTATTATAGACCTTAACTGATGATCTCTGGAGTAAAGCCTTGACGGAGTGGTAGCCAAGGGCACATCGAAGAAATCCGGGTCATGGCGGGCTGTTTCGATAACAAAGCAAAACGGTAAAACCTGGACCAAAGACGCACACCGTAAATATTTATTTAACACTCCTGTTAGCAACTGGCTGGTACAGGGTCTCGCTGACAGGACAAATAATTTAAACCTTTGTTAGTCGTTGTCAGCGGGCCGCCAGAGCATTGTGTTTTACCAATTTATTTATTTCCATTGAAATATATTATTTTAGTACTTACCAGTCATTATAATAATTGTTCTCTCGCTCGTTAATAATTATCATCATGAAACCTGTGCATTCGTGGCTAGCTACCGCAAATATTTACTTATATGTATGTAAAATATTACTTCTTGTATCCACTAGACGGTACTGTACAATTTGACATAAAATTACCAAATACGTTGTAGAATCGCTAGTGACAACTATTTAAAAAAAAGCAATGGTAGAGGTATTGTAGTAGTCTCCAGACCTGTCAATGTCAAATCCAATTATTTAACCCCTGACCAAAAAGAGTGAAGTTACAAGTTTGCCTTTAACTGTGTGTCACACACGTGGACAATCACAAATTACACCCAAACTCACGAGAAAAATAAATGTAGGCCATACAAATATTTCTCACGGCCCGGCAATCGAACCCGGCGCCTCTGCCTGGCAGACCAGCATGGTAACCGTTCGGCCACTGAGGCAGTTAAACTCCCAAACTGGTGAACTTACTGTATCTCTAAGCCGTTTTTTATAGGATGGTTTTTAGCACTCTAAGTTTGATGAGCAACTATACAACTGTTTAAAGACCTGTTCTTTTCAAGATTACTGTACAGTCAAAAATGAACAAGTTGGCCAATAGCAAGCTAGCTCGAGGAAATTGCAAAAGTCGCAGGCAAAACCTGGACTAGAGACGCAAAAAATGTACCTACCCCGGAGTGAATTTTGTTGCTCTAGTACGTAGTAGACCGTAGTATCTAATTAGTGTGTTTGTTTGGCACATGATTATTATTTGGACGCGGAATTCCGTGAACCACTTGGGTTAATTTTTTAAATTGATTCAAAAAGAAGATTGTTCTTACATTTACGGCGACAGTAATTGTATTTATTCATGTAGTATAATATTTTGGTTGTGCTTCATTTTGTGATTGTCACCAAAAAAGGATACGTTGTTTAAAAACTTGAGAATGACCGACGTTGAACCAATTTGGTGAGCTGTACCGAAGTAGAGTTAAGAACACAATCTTACTTACTTCTACTTATGATATAAAAAGATGAAGAAAAGTTTTACGAAGTCGGCAAAAAGCGTAAAATAAAATTACAAAAAGGATTGATTTTCAAATATTTAATTTTATTTGTTACAGCAACACGGTACAGAATACTCCTGGGCTACAGCAACTCCAGACTATGAAATACGAATAGACTGTTCAATAACTCACGACAAACATAAAGGGAAATGCACTACGACACTGACTCTATCAGCAAGATCTGCCGCTAACGAAGAAATTTACGAGTGTGAGACGTCGGGAGAGCATCCCATGTTTCAGTTGGATATTAAGCGGTATAATGCTTATGGTAAGTTCTTTTGCTGACTCTGTATTTCGCAGAATCGGCTGAACTTCACACTTCAATTTTATAACATGGAATTATGATAATAATAAAATTCATTCGCTATGTAATATCACGCTTTCCAAAAGAGATGGCGCTATAAATTAAAACAATTACCAAAAAGTAAAACAAATGTTTTGTAATAACGATAATTTGTTTCGTGTATTAATGTTAACCGACTTCAAAAAAGGAGGAGGTTCTCAATTCGACTGTATGTTTTTTTTCTTTTTTTTTGTATGTATGTTACGCGATAACTCCGGTATTTGTGAACCGATTTTCATGATTCTTTTTTTGTTGGAAAGGGGGTACTTCCATAGTGGTCCCATTTCATTTTGAAGAAAACATCCACCTCGAAGGGTGGCTGTTCACGCATGAAGATTCATTTTTATAAATAGCGCCTAACATGAATTTAGGAGCAGTTACTTTAATGGTTGATTTTGCTATTTCTCCAATTCAAGGCGTTTTTCTCTCGATATACTTTGTGTAGTGTCGTAGTGAGAACCTATTTTTATTATCTCCAGTGTCAAGTCCTGTATAGCGGCGAACTAGGGGATATTTCAAAAAAACTTAGCAAATAGACGTAATTCCACGTACTTTTGAGGTCGGTTTTTTTAGTACTCTGTACCGAGATTATTCTTTTCGTTAATATCCGACACCTTGGTTTAGAAACCCAACTATAATTCATTTAGTACAACAAGGAGGTAGGGAGTAAGATGCTGCTGTATATCACCGACATGAAATTATATGGATATGCAATGTATGTGCTCTATTTCTCAACTGCAGTACCACCAAGTGTCGCAGAGGTGAAACGAGTACCGTCGAATGGGCCTTCACCACGTATTACTCTGCATTGTACGTCATCGGCGATACCACCACCTGAACTCGTGTGGACTATCGAAGGGCGGATGGTGAGATTTCATGATAATGTACCTACATTATTAAACTGTGGTAGGTCGTATTTGGGCAGACACCTGGCATAGGTATATTTCCTCAGAGCATTCACTGACGTGGTACGGTTTGAGCGTAAGGGAGAACCAACACAATCTTAGGCACGAAATGAACTTTAAAGTTTAATTTAAATTCTTGATTAAACTTACGCAAAGTTCGTCTTGTAAATACGGCAATTTGCTTAGCTCGCTATCCTTACTTAGTCGAAGTTAAAGTTCTTTTTGTAAATCTTGGCCTAAGATATTATGGACAGGGTACTTATTTTTGGCCAGGCCACACAGACGTGGATGCAGGAATTTTTGTAATGTACGAGTTTATAATGAACCCCCGCGCGTTTGAGTGTGGCCAGAGCAAAGACGTAGCAAGTGTCTATTTGGACAACTAGGTACTTGTGAACTATAGCTTATGTTCGTTTCTTTAGAAGAGATGTGTGCCCAATGGAATTAATAATATACTTACCTATTTAGATCCCAGCCGAATTCACGCGAAGAAAATGGAATTCAACAACAAAGCTGTGGCAGGAGACCTCCACGATTAACCTCGAGTCTGAGGATCTGGCCAGCAAAGCCATCTGCACCCCTGTCGTCACCACCCAGGATAATAAAATTATTAAAGGAATACCTGTCAGCAGTGCAGGACATTTTAGTAAGTAGTTTAAGACAACTAGGAATATGAGCTTTAAATAATATTCTATAGTCCTCCATTTCAATTTCGATAATAGCGACCCTTTCAGATTATTTCCCAGCGTGTGCCCTAATATGACTCGCCACAACGAAGTTTGCCTTAAATGCCCGATCACAAACAGTGCAATACAGTTGGCCTGCAGATTTGAAAGTATTGGTATAGGAGGGCTTAGGTCTCTCTTTACTCATTTGTCGTTTTTCATTTAATGTTTCGATTCGCTTTTGTACGAATGTTTTTACGGATAGTAGACCGCCAAGACGATCTATGTGAAGCGAGCCCCTCCCAACCTGATGGATCAATAGCGCAAGCGTGTAGATGTCTCATGAGCACATCCTTGTAGCGAAGATGTTGACCGCCATGCTTTCGTTTGCCTTCCGCCATCTCGGAGTAAAATACAACTTTAGGCAAACGGTGGTCCTCCTTGCGAAGGACGTGCACGCACCACCCGAGTTGACACTGCACTGTTAAAGATTCCATGCCATACACGCCGCATGCGGCACGTACTTTGGGATCGAAGCAACGTATATTTACTTATAAAAAAAGAGAGAAATACTTGGCTGAGTCCAAGAGTTAAGAGAAGTGATATATATCAGTAGTTTCAAACATACCTCTTTTAGCTTACCGCAAAATGTATGGTCTGGACTTGTTCATACATTTCTGATACATATACGACTCATCCGTAGAACAAAGATCTATGTGCAAGGCTACTTCTTCTCAGGACATAGTACACTTCGTTGGTTCTTCTTCGCTGTGGATGTTAGATCGACTGTTGTTTGATTTTATATTTCCGAAACGAAATAAGATACATAAATTATCAAAATGCTTTTACATGGGCCTTAGTTTGAATAACGAAATTATTCTCGTAATGTACCTATTCTTCTCTTTTCGCTATATAATCACAAAGGACTCTGTTCTTCGGATGAATCGAATCATTATTATTGGACAATGAAGATCCGAAAGGTATTGATTGTGTTTGTTGGAAAACATGATAGCTTTCATCCAATTATTTGTTACTACAGTAGAAAACGCAGCACTACTATTGTTTGCTTTAAAGTGAAATGAAGTGAGAGGCCAATACAAAAGTACCTACTAAAATTTTTATATTAATATCGCTAAGTATAAAATAGTAACTTCAATTTAATGGATTACAAGCCTTCCTTATGATAACCTCATACCACAGCGGCCCATCACGAATTCAAACTAAGTATGTAAATTAGAGATTTAACCTTGCCACATGAAACAAAGACAGATTCAACTCTCTCTGCTTACAGATATAAGCACTGAAATTGCATAGCATTATACAAAAAAAAAAAAATAAACTCAGGAAAAACAGCAGGATGCACGAAGTACTATTGGCCGATTATTTCAACATTTCGCGGTACTCAGCTGCTGCTTCCCTCATAATACAATATATCCAAGTGAGACTTACCATGCCTGTGTACAAAATGAGCAAATTTTTAGTCGCCAAATCGCAATTAATGACACTGTTTTTTCTGTTTACAGACGCGGTAAAATGCCTTGTAGTGGTCACGTTAATTTTATTAAGATTATAAATGAGTACTTTACTTAAGTAAACTTACTCTTAGCCGTACAGATCGTTAAGTTTGAAAGAAATACCATGAATGGATTTTAATATTTAAAAAAATAGTCATCAGAGTCATTCATCACACATTAGGTAAAATAAAAACAGTGTATACAGTAAAATAAAAAGAAGCAGGTTTTTAGACACCTTCTTGTGGCTGCGGATACCGTCACGTAGCGCGGGTAGATGCTATCAACTCGGTGTTGCCGAATTTAGAGATTGTACTACCCTAGTAAGCTAGTTAGTAATTTCTTCCATATTTATTTAGTAAAACCATAGTGGTATGCTTGAAAATGTATATGTAACGGATACAGTGCGTGATCGCTAAGTGCGCCCAGACAATCCGTAAATATAACAGATATTAAAAATCTTAAAACTGATATGGAAAATACATTATCTAATGTGTAAAACGATATAAAAAACTTTTTAAAAATAAAACTGGCATATCCAAAATTTTAACGTTTAAATACTCACCATATATTTAATATGACATTCGAAGAGGCTTTAGTTGAGCTATTTTAAGATTTAACAATATTTTTACACATAACAAAACTGTTATCTTTTATTATCTTCTTTCTTCTGTTATCTTTAATTGAATAAAAACAATATGAAGTTTATTTTTATGTAGTACAAAATCTTGTATTCAAAGCAGTTGTTCAAAACTAAAGCCCCTCTACGAATGTCATATTAGTCCAGTCCATCGAGTATTATGTACTTGATGGTCCAGCCACGAAGTTGCAACACAATGCTGATAGCGTCTACCATAATAATGATTTAACAGGTACCAGATTGAATTATACCAAATTAAGAACAGCGTCTATCCATAATAGGTATACATATAGCACTAGAGCGCAGTTTAAACTAATGTTTGTTACAGTGATAAGTACGGCGGGTAGGGTCAAGAGCACGTCAACCTTGACACTTAAGATTTAAGTCCAACTCTATACCGCTTGCGGCAAGAACGATCCAAAGTACAAAGTGTCAAGCTTGACGTGCTCTTGACTGTACACAGATTAAAACCATATTAGTATTAGTATTCAGATCATTTTTATTTCAACAGAAGATTGTTGCGAGTGATTATTTTAATGTTACATATTTGAACTGCTGTAAGGTAATTAATTAACTTTTGTCAGGATTGGCACATTTTATTTTTGGAAATTGTGGGTCTTTCATTTATGGTCTACATTTCCATATTTAAGGAATTCATTTTAAGAACGACAGTAAGATACCTATAGCGAAGCCGAAGTGCTGTACCTCTTTCTTATTTTTCTGTCTAGCAAACAAAACATTTTCTTTCCCCTTACTCCATAAACTGTCTATTTAGTTTATTGCTTAAGAATGAGAAATCTGTTTTAAATGTATACGTGTCACAAATAGATATTAATACCATTTGGTTACATTGTTGGCTTGAGATTGTCTTATAATTGTAACTGTTCAGAAACATTATCATTTTCAATCACAAAAAAAATGATACGAACCTCATGAAAAAAGTAACCTATATGTCAAAGTCTACATGGTCAAATAAAGTCGATCTTTTAAACTCGACTTTGAAATAATAATAATAACAAACTAATTTAGATCCGCGAATATAGTTTCATTTCCTATGTGTGACAATCGCGAAGACCTAACATACTTTCACTTTTTTGTTACAGATCAGAGTTATATCCGTACTTTAATATTCTACGAAATGATGAGGGGCAATTTTGTCAGCTTTCAAAATAAACGTTATATTATTCCTTTTTTCATGAAATTCATATCGTCCTATATTTTATTAATAACTATTTATTAAATAAATTCTCAATTATAAAATCCAACGTAAACTTTGATAACGTTTGTAATTTAAATACATAGTTGTAAACAAAGAAAAACTTTTGGATGATTTTATTAAATTTTATTACTTTTAATCATTTAATATCTATGCAAAATTTAAAATCGGATGCTATACTTCACAAAAGTTGTGTTTTTTGTTTGGAATTTTTGAAATTTATTTACTACAATTTATATACCCTAATTATTATAAGTATCACACATAAAAGTAAGGAGATTCATCAACTTCGTAAAATCTGTAAAGTGCAACTTTTTACTAAAAATGGTGACGGCTTGTACTCCAACTACCTAAATACTCCAACGTGTCATTCCACGTGTTTCATGATTGAGAAGATTTTAATGATAGACATTATGAAGCACTAAATAAGTACGAAGCACAGTTGTACCAGGCCGTGCGCCATTTTACGTATTTTGATATACATTGAAATTATATGGTGACGTGTAGATTATAATATATTAATTTTTTTGAAAATCATTATTTTTCCTAGGGTCATAATTTGTAAGTTTGTAAAAAACGTTCGCATATAAGGCCCAACGTTTGGTTGAAAATTAGAAACTTTTGTGCCCGCGAAATTGTGGAAAACTATGTAATTTAACGCAAACTGCTCACTCGCGGCACTAGCCTCGTAAATTAACTAGGACGAATCTTTTTTTTTTTCAAATCTGAGGTGTGAAAAATTAGTGATAATAATTAAACAAATTATATTAATATTTTAATGTAAGTCTTCAAACTATAGGCCATTCAACCATTTACTGCACAACAGAAAACGGTGGAAGATGACAATTCTAATGAAAATACTAACTTTATTATCACAGCGCCTTCGACCTGTGTCCAGTCCATTTCACAACTTCTTTCTCACAGACTTGTCATGACTACATTGTCATTTAAGATTTAAATTCGACTCTATGCCGCTTCAAATACAATATGACCGGTATAAAATCCAAAGTGGCTTGTATGACTATGAGTGTGTATGAAATGTCTACTTCTTATTTGTCATAAAAAGTATGATGATGATGATTAAATATTTAAACCGGAATAAATCCTGTGTATGACATTAAAGCAATATTACCATTTTCTATTCAAAACAAAAGCTCAAACCATCGAAACAGATATATACCTGTGTATATCTTTTTACACGGTAGTTTTTAAAATACTAAACCTCGTAGGACTATATTTCTTACATCATAGTGGAGGTCAATCGTCTCTACCACAGTAGGAGACAGGCATGATGATAAGTATGTATGTATCATAAATAACAACTAAGAAAAGAAAGCGCTAGCGTAAATACCTAGTCCAAAGCAAAACGCAGGAGCGGGGTTGAGGTTAGACGCTAGCACATTTGTACTTACTACCTTACTACCAAATCGACGCCTTACTTTCTCAAACTCGAATCTTAAAGCACAAAGTTACTGATACTTTGCATGCTGATTTCATATCATATTTCCTTCATATTCACACACTGGTTTTACTTATTCTTACAGTAATACATCCAAATTATCACACTTGACAAGAAATTTATAATAAATACAAACTTTTGCCATCTCCTGAATAACCACTCTTTATAAGATACGCGTTTGAGAAAGTAAGACAACGAAATATGCATCCAAAAAGTATCAGACAGTACAGCAAAATCTTAAAATGTTATTTTTGGTTTAATAATATTTTGAAATAAATATTTTGAAAAGTTATGAAATAAAAGTTATTGTTTATGACGTTAGTAATAAAGTCCTGCGACGTTGTTAGTATTTTACAAACAATTCTGCATACCTATGGTTCAAAGCAAACAGCCAAAATTTAAAAAAACACAATTTTTAACTTTCACGGAAAATGTCCATTTACTGTGATAATTGATATAACGACTCATCCAAAGAACAGAGTCCTACGTGATTATACAACGAAAAGACATAAATACATAATCTCTTAATTGCAACCAAGGCCTAGCTATAGGCGTTTATAAGAAATTTTGTATCTTATTTCGTTTTGGAAATAAAAAGTCGAACAACGATCGATCTGATATCCATAGCGAAGAACAACAAACGAAGTGTAATGTCCTGAGAATAAGCAGTCCTGCACATAGGACTTTGTTCTACGGATGAGTCGATAAGATTATTTACGACACCAGGAATACAATTTCTTGCACCAATATTAACCCCATTACAAAGTAATATCATGATTAATTCCTGAGAATAGTAGGCGGCCTCTTGAGCTACCTTGACTTCCGGAAAAAGCTCATTGTGCAAACATTCTTGTGAAATCATTAAATTTTCATGTCGGATTTCTCAAGCCATTTTGTTAGAAATTAAAAATCGGGCAGAGAAGAATAGTCAGTTACACATTTTGACGAGTAAGTATACGTTATCATTCTCTGTTTTTCGCTTCCGTTATTACGCGTTCGAGTCATTTAGTGCGGGAGTGAGATGTCGCACTAAATACTGAATAACATGGTCCATTGTAAAATAGTCGAACAATCCAAACACATTGATAACGCTCAGTCTAAATTTCCCTAATTAAGGGATCCACAACATGACAATGTTAATTGGTACACTACTAATTACTAATACATTTGTTTTAAAACTTTGCAAGCTTGCGACCGTTTTATTTTTTCGCAAGTAACGTTTACGTGAGCAAGAAATCAACTTCGTCGTATAATGCTGACACAAAATAACAAAATTAATGTTGTTGCTATCATTTCAAGTAAAATCTTTCAATTATATTTCATAATTTCGTTCAGTTACAAAATAACAAAAGAGTAGTGTGACATGATTTTCTTCTATTAAATCATATTTTAAATAAGGGTTCTGCCCGTCAATACGAACAACTTAAAGACACGCCCTAAAATGTACTGTTCCAAGTCCAATAGGTTCAACTTAGTATGGAACAATAGATATTTTATTCCTGGCTCGTAAACGGTCCCTATAATAATATTGTCTCAAGTACTGAACTTGGCCTCACAATCAATTTGAGGGTCGTTAACATGGATTTAAGGCCAAAGGCCAGTTCTTTCATAAAAGATAAGAAACATTAACTTACGGCAATCTGTGTACAGGTCGCAAAGGCATTAAAACCGTATAACATGAAGGACACAAGGAGATATGCGATTGATAACCTATAGGTGAATTACTGAAGTTAATGGGCGTTTTCAATGACTATTGCATACAGGCTGTTGTAATTTTATTTTGATAATTTAGTGAGAGGTTTTAACTACGTAATTTCATATTGTGTCAATAGATGACGCCTAGAGTTATTATCTCTTTGTACGGGACAGTCAGTTTTAAAAGATTATCCATCGCCTTCTTTGAGCATAGTGCGAAAGGCAACCATTAACAATACCACGTACATAATTCAATATAAAAGAACAAGTACTAAATTACCGTTATTCGCCTACATATTTGTATACATTTGTTGATATATAATGTTTACTGAGAACACATTGAATCAAAACATTCACAAAAGAAAGATGTGATCACACACACACACACACGCGTCATGGAAAATATAGAATTAAGTTTAAAAGATATTAAATACTTTACGACTTAAACTAATTAAGAGACGTCATCTTTGACGCGTACTCTCAAAATATTAAACTATACAAACTACCACTTCAAAATAAAATTACTTAAGGTGCAATTTTCAACAAATACTATGACAGTTTGTATAATTTAACTCGTAACATTCCCTTATGATGGCATTCTATTCAAATCCATTCTTTGGATGACAACTAGCTAGCGTGTTATTTATGTCTACATCCATCTCACTATGATTTGATATCATTCGACTAGAACTATCTATTTGGACTAAGTTTTACCTTTTTTGATCGAATCACACGATTCGAGATGGGCACAGGAACTTTTGTTTGTGGTTGAGTAGTTTTTCTTGGCTGTAAGTGTATGTTTTACACAACTGACGTAGATCTTGTCCATTGAAAATAAAGTTTTTTTTAAATAGAGAAAAACAGGACAGATAAAAAAAAGAAACGATGTCGCTTTAGATAAGGGACTCAAAAAAATATTTAGGTTGTAATCATTGACTTACAATTATATGGACGTCGGGTCCGCGCTAAAAAGTGTCCGAACTTATAGGGTGTTAAAATCGTATACACAGCGTCATTCACGCTTTAGTCTTCGTTTGTTCGACTGACAGCGAAGCAAGCAAAATTAGACAGTACTGCGATGACATTACAATTTCAGTTCAACGTTTTAGTTATTAATACAAAGATCGAACATCAGAAAAAACACTCAGAAAAAATTCCTTCGATCCGGTCGGATTCGAACCGACGTCTTCTTGCATACCGTGCCAGTGATGTTCGATCTTTGTATTAATAATTATAACAAACTAGTGGAGTAATTCCACAAAAAATAATTGAATATCAATTCAATAAAAATTTAATTAACGTTTTAGCTTTTTCATATTCCTTTACATGTCACTACGTTTAAATAGGTTGACTTGGGACATTTTTTTCGTGGTTTTTGTATTAGACCCGTCGTCCATTTATTTGTAAGTCAATGGTTGTAATCGTTAAGTGCGCCCAGGAGACTATTCCGTAAACATAAGTGACATCAAAAACCTTTAAACTGATATCGTAAGTTCGTTAACTAATGAAAAAACGACACCGATAACTTTTTAAATAAAATAAAAATTTAAAATTTTAACGTTTAACGCTCCCATACACATGACAGACGTACAGAGGCTTTAATTGACTTACTTTAAGAAGTAACAATAAGTTTACAGATAAAACTGCTGTACACAAGCAACAAAACCATCTTTTAATTGAATAAAAATATAGTGATGTTCACTCAGATTGCTGATGTAGCCCAAAAAGCTGCGAAGCTGAAATGGAGTTGGGCTGGTCATGTCTGCCGCATGCAGACCTGTGGGCCAAGGTAACCACCCAGAGGAGCCCCAAAAGCGTAAAGCGCCGCGACAGACCGAGGAAGTGAAGGTGTGACGAACTGGACGCCTACGACAAGGCTTGGGTCCAGTTAGCTCAAGATCGCGATGCGTGGAGAGATCAGGAGGGGGCTTTTTCCCAGCAGTGGGTTACATCAGGCTAATTGTAACTGTTGTAATTGTTTAATTTTAAGTAAATTCAAAATTTTGTATTCAAAGTAGTTGTTCGAAACTAAAGCTTCTATACGAATTGCATATTAAATGTATGGAAGCTTTAACGGACGTCTTTTTCGCTTTTACGTTCATGGACACAAAACTTTTTCAGACCGGCTTAGCCCGCCCTGCGTCATTGAGACACACGGTATAATTAACGATTTTGGTACATTTATTTTTAATTTTTATAATTTTCATTTTTTTTACACAGGGTAATTTGTAAAATACTAACAACCTCGCAGAACTATATTCCTAATATTATAAACAACAACTTTTGTTCCATGACTTTTTATAACATATAACAAAAGTCTGCAAAAATGAACTTTTTAGTTTTTGTTGTACTATTTAACACTTTTTAGATCTGCACTTGGTAGTAAAGTCATAAGTTCAAATGGCATGGTATTTACGCTAGCGCTTCCTTTTGTTACCACTCAGAGCTATCACCGTTTAGAGCGATCTATTTAAATATTTTTATATTATTATTTTTATATAATTGTTAACACCTCAGTGAAACCACATGCAATGATTAAATGAATTATGAATTATGAATTATGAATTATTAAAATAAAATCTAATGAATTTAAAAGTCATGGAACAAAAGTTGTTTATGATTTTTTTTTATAATATCAAGTGACGGGACGAACAAGTCGCTCGCCTGATAGTACGCTACACGCCTATCCATAATATAAATCGTAAAGATTTGAGGGGCACTGCCACTGCGCTCGTCACCCTGAGATGTAAGTTGACAAGTTTCATGTGCCCGTAATTTCACCAGCACCCTTCAAAACCCGAACACAGTAATGCTGATATTACTGCTTGGCGACAGAAATAGGTAAGGTCGCAGTACTTCCCTGGACGAGCTCTGATGATGTACTAGTAGATAATGTTGTTGATGAATGATATTGGTAGAGGTTGTTAATATTTTAAAAATAACCCAGTGCACATTTTTTAAATGGTAATAAATAATTAAATGTTATATAACAGCATTTATGATGCTCTGATCCCAAAGTAAGTAACTCAGCACCTTGGGTTACGGTAATCTGAAACAACGACGGTATCACAAACACCCATATCCGAGACAATATGGAAAAGTTACTTCCTACACTGACCCGACCGAGGATCGAACCCGGGACCTCGGAGATGGCGACACCATGAAATCCGGTGTGCAAGCTACTTGACCAAAGAGGTCGTCGAAAATGTTGGATGAAAACACAGCTGCGCGTTAGAGACACCGTATAGCTCTAGGATGCCGAAGTACCAAAAACGTTAGGGACATAGAGTGCCTGGAGAATACGTGACGGGTTAATGCGATTCTGCGTTAATAAGTGCGGTGTCTCCCTTATGTGGTGCAGTCCAGTACATTGAATACGATGAACAAAGGTGCAGAAGCCCCAACCAGAATGACTCAACTTTCAAGTATCAAGATATTTGGTACCCATCCACAACACACTTGACAACCATTAACAATGTTCACAATACGTTATTATCACAACATTAAGTTGGAAATACTTATTCCTAGGGAATGTTATAATATTCACCTATATTTAAAGCAATTTGAATAATTCTCATTTACACTATACGAATGTTTACTATTTTGACACAGCCTCTCTTTCCCACTCGTTCAAAATGCGACTTTAAACAGTGAGATAGCAATATTACTCCCGTTTCGTCTGGTGTAAATGAGATGATGACTAGATCTTATATTTATGACGAGAAAATCACATTTTTGTGCTAAACGACAATTATAGTGCGAATTCAGACTTAAAGTAGTTCGATAATGCACATTTTAACGTATTTACTATAATACAACTTCATTAAGAACATTTAAAATAAATATCTATGACTTTTTATCTCTAAAATAAAAATTTGATGTTCTAACCAAAAATTTTGTAAAAAAAAAACTCATTGACTAGATAAATAAATGCATAAGGAATGTTTTCCATTTATAATAACTATAAATAAAGAATGTGTGCGAAATTCCTACGCTGTAAGCGAATTTTGAAAATTGAAATAAAATCAATTTCTAGTAGTACACTTCCGAAACCTCATGCAAAATTCCATAGTACTCCTCTATTAATTCTTAGGTATATATAAAAATGGCGTTCGCTGAAATCTGTTCATGAGAATGTGACCAATAGTTACTTAATTAAGTGACTTGACTAACGTTCACCATAACTTGCTGCCTGCCCAACCGTTTATGCTTTACAAATATGGTTGAAAATTGAATAAATCAGGTGCTAAGTTATGTAACGCAAATACCTTGACCGCCAAAACACAGATTATCCGTTGTCCAGAAAAAACAGCAAACGAATGCTCACAACCAATCCCCGCCACAAGTTTCGCGGGGTCGGGGGGAATAACTCGTGATTGGTAGTAACACTGACGACCTGTCATACTAAATATCAGTATAGTAAAGTCAGCAAAAATTAGAAAACCAAGGTACAATAAATCAAAGTTTTTAACAGTGACATTATTCGAAGGATTCTGTTGAAAAGCGTGGCAAAAGACAAGGTGACTCAGATTTAGTAGAGGTGAAGCTGCAGATTATAATGCATTTATTGCAGACTATAATGATGGGCAAGGTAGCTGGAAAGCGGAAGGTTGGAAGAAGGAAAATGTCATGGCTTCGTAACCTCAGGGAGTGGACCGGTGTGGATCGTGGATAGTGGATCAAGACCGTGGGACAACTATTCAGGCTAGCTCTGGACAAAGAAAGATATAGAAAACTGATTGCCGACCTTCAATAATGGAACACCACCGTAAAGATGCTTGATTATCCGTACTCTACAGGATATATATATCACATAGAATGTGGAATGGAATTGCATGAAATAATTTCGTCTTTCCATCATCGGGGGACTAGACTGGGGTTCAACCCCTATGTTGTAGATATTACATGTATACGCACGAAGCGTTACGGTTCCACATTTATAAGGTGAACGGCTATGGAGCGAAATTCCCTGCCTGCAAACTTTATCCCTGAACGCTGTAACCTGGACCTTTTCAAGGCGAGAGTGAGTAGGCATTATTAAGGTGTACATGCTCGATCGGCGACCTCATTACTCACTTTCCATCATGTGAGATTGAGGTCAAATGCGCACTTTAAAAAAAACGATAGCATTTGTAATTGCTATAATATGCATGACTGCAAAGCAACCTGCAGAGCATAGACGAGCGAGTTTATGGCGGTCAAGCCAGATGTAAAAATGCTTACACATTTTGGTTTTGTAAATTCGGACAAGTTTGAGCCATGTTTTCCTTTGGTCTATAAATTCATTAAAGCTTTGCAACACATTGTTTTTAAGCCAGATTTACATTTGTCTGACGTGTCGTGTCGTGACGTGTCAGAACATTATCGGTTTCATACACACAACACAACTTGTCAGATTGCGACACACTAATATAAATCTAACCATATTAAATGTATGAAACCGATATGACTGACGCGTCACGACACGACACCTCATACAAATGTAAATCCGGCTTTAGGTCTGTGGTCTGTTTACGGTATGGTTTCAGCAATAGAGAAGTGTGTTCCTAAGAATCACAGATCGCCTTAATCGTTCCTTACCCGCCATTTACGTAACTCGATTGTGCGTATTTCTTAATATTTCAAATTCTTCTAAGTTCTTTATCAGATTCAACGACCGTTCCCGAAGCATTGTAAACAAAATTATTGCGTCTGAAGCCACGCACGGAGTCCTCTAGCTCTTTCTTGTACACCGCTATCAGAATCAGCCTGTACGATCGGGTCTGGCTGCAATATAAAAATAGAATTATTAATAAAGTGAAAAGTATTTTAAAAAAGGAAGTTAAAATAGTACATTGTGTATTAAGGACGGTAAATAAGAAATTACTAACGACGGTTTATTAGAAGCCCGAAGAAGCCAAAGGCTGAGGGCTTTGATAATTTGAGTTTTGTATTTTTTTTATCGTCTGTAATATATGTATACATGTTTTTCATCACATTTGCGAGGAAATAAATACAATATAAATATGGCTCACAACACAACAATTATGGATATAGCAAATGGCAGGTTTTTTTTAAGATAATACAACTCGAACTAAAATGTTCTAAATACCAAACACGCATACAGCCATGATGAATTGTAAACAAAAATTTGCAAAATTTTCATACAGTAAAAATTAAAATCGATAAACAAAATTCTTAATAATAAGCATTTAAGTAGGATGTGGCTGAATTGCTATAAAATTTCTGTTTAGACAACATTTTAAGCGAATGTTTTAATTTTGAACTTAAGTAATGTCCCTGCTTGAACTTGAACCTAATCTACGTAAGGAATTGTGTCGTGTTACAAGTTAAAAAAAAATTCTTACCGACCATGGCTGTAATAGAAAGAAAAAAGGCCCGAGGGTTCTATTTGGGGCATTATAATCAAGTTAGCCACCATGCAATCATACTAATTACGAGCAAGTGTGATGAAAAGTACGTTATAGTTATCAAAATGTGCATTTTAAAATAATTTTTTATGACACCAATGATGGGACGAACAAGTCGTGCACCCGGTGTGAGCGAAACGCCTGTCCATAGCAGTTGCAGTGCCACTCAGAGCTTTAAATTCCAAAGATCTAAGGGGCACTGCCACTGCGCCCATCACCGTGAGACGTAAGTAGACAAGTCCAATATGGCTGTAATTTTACCTGTAATCTTATTTTCTGATACTTACTGCAGATAATGTCAACCTGGTTTGCGAAGTAGTGGGTGCGTTCCAGGAGCTTGTTTCAGGAGACGCTAAAATGCAATAAAGATGTGTAATATCTATAAATCGGCTACATTGAACAAAAGCAAATTCCCTTCAATGGCAGATCTCCATGAGGAATATTGAGGTACGGTCTTAGTGTTGCCCGTAGTTGGTTTAACGTGGCAACACTAGATCTCCCTATCATCGGCATGCAATATCCATAGACATATTAGCAACGCTTGCGTACCTTCTTTGTCTTCAGCAATGTTAAGGTTGTAACTTTTTTATGACACTGAAAAATGGGACGAACAGGTGTGCGTCTGGTGGTAAGCGACACGCCTGTCCATAACAATTGTAGTCGCGCTCAGAGCTTTAAATCATTAAGATCTACTGCATTTTTTACATGGTACCATTAGAATTTCTTTAAAATCTAACTTCGCGTTTCTGGGGCAGCAGTTTTATTTTAATAGTATAATGCATCTATACTATTTCCGGAAATCGGGAATTCGAAAAAGTAATTAATTAATATGGTGGTTTTAACAACTCGAAGTCGCTCCTGTAGCTATATCTATACATGTATGGATCTATCAGTGGTGAGGCGTCCATACAACTCGTTTCCCACCGCCTTGCCTAAAATTTTCCACGTTTTAGTAGTACTTCACTAAATTTTGTGCTCAATTTTATGTGTATAATAACTTAACTAGTGAAATTAAGTGTGCTAGTATCTTGTGTGCCAATAAATGTTGCGTTTAAGTGTCACCAAGGCGCCACTTTTTCTTAAGGCCTAGATTTTTGCTTTGCTCCGGCTTTACTAACGACAATTTTCACGCCTCGTCACTGGTATCTATACACGTGGAACACCTTTTTCCATCCACTGGTAATGAATGACTGATTTACAGAGACAGTTGACACACTGAGACAGTTGACACTTACCAGTTCTTGGCCTAGCATCCAAAGCCCGCCAGATGTCTCTAACATCAGCATGCAAGGCCCGTAGAGACCGTAGCACCGCCCCTGTTGCTTCCCTTTCTTCTGCTCCTGCTTCGCTGCCGGATGAGGCTTCGCTAGTTGTTGCTTCCTAAAATGTTGCGTTTAGTTATTATTTTTGATAGTAATTGCCACCATTAGATCACCCCATCCATGCTGTGCGAAATGCGGGAGAACGTCGTTTTTCGTCATTATTATGCGCACAGCCCAGGAATGGAATTCTCTGCCTGCGACTGTGTTTCTGAGCACATACAAATCGAGTAATTTTAAGGTGCGACTGAATAAGCAACTTCTAGGCGAGCTCGTTCCATCGTAAACCCTATCTTTGGTCCAGGGCTAGATAATGGTCAAGAACAGGGGTATCCATACAGATTTCCCCCCCCCCCGTCAAAAAAAAAAGGTAATGGTCAAGAACAAGTCCATTTACTTTAAAAGAAACTACTAATAGTCTACGCGTGTCACGACGATTTTCCACACAAAATCGATTAAAGTGATAGATTACTAAATAATTAGCAATTAAGTTGTACTGTGAAGTAGAATAAGAACTAACCAAGAACAAAATTGAAATGTTTCTGTCTCTGTGTGGTTACAAATATAGACATATAGCGCCTATTTGTAGAAAAATAGCAAACAAATGGCCGACAAGACATAGAAAAAAGTTTATATAACCCCTTGAACAGCCATGTGAATAGCTAGCTGTCGATTTAGTACGTTTAAAGCTCTTAATACACCGTAGCCGTAACTACCGTAAGAGGGATCCCCGCATTGCGCAGAACATGTAAAGGCCGAGCTTATGGCAGTCAGGCTTCAAGAAAAAGTCTGTATAGGTGCGAACGCTACAAGACACTAGTGACGTATAAATCGAAAAAGTTTAAAAGCAAGTCATGTTTGATGGGAGTAAATACAGTGACTGGTTGGTAGTTTTTCATAGCGTGTGGAGAGCAAATAAAACCAAGCTTCGGTTTTTCTAATAATTTTCAGAAATCAAAAATAATATGCAGTGCGCAGAGAATTTTGCACTAGTAACCCATTTAAAGAAGACTTAAAACGACAATAGAATAATGCCTTATGTGTAAATAAAACAGTAAGCTGATGAAGACATTTAGTAGAATGTATGAAGGATATAATCTAGATAAAATAACCAGTTTAAATATCGAATTCGCGAATTAAAATCTTGAAAACCATATTTATATTGGAAAAACATAAGTTTTTAATGTATATCACGATTATATCACATAACCAAAACAACTAAAAGAGTAGGATCTCATGTAAAGTAAATGAAACCTACATGAAATTAAAATCAAAACAAGAAGAAGCGGTGATTCTTTTGTCTAGAACACCTGTATGAGAGGCGGCGGATGCGATTCCGTCAACTTCCTAAGGGCCCGTTCGATGTGCTGCAGACGGATTTCCTTCTCGCCCAACAGCGCGCGGGCGCGGTGGAGGGCCACTTCCAGTTCAGTGGCTTCGCGTTCCTCCTTCGTATAAGATTATGTTTACAATCAGGACCCCGATTCTGAAGTCTTCGATATTTTATTCGAATCGTTCAATTGGATATCGTTTTCGAATCGAAGGGCGATTTCCAAGCTATTCAGAACTTTCGAGTTAAACGGTCGATTCGGATTCGGATGCCATATCGTTATCCGACAGCGTTCACGGAGTTAGTCATTGAAATAGATTATAAGAAAAATGAAAATCCTTTTATATACATTTTTAAGATTTTAAAGGCCTGAAATATAGGAATACATTAGTCTCGCATTAAAATAAATTAATAAAATTGAACAAAATCCAGACTTTATGTAAAATAATAAGAGATTTCCATATGGAAATATGATATCATATTCTTGCTTTGTAAACAATAGGACGTTCGGTAACTTTCATTCGATTACTGTGTTCTGAATAACGTTTGCAGCCTTTGCCGGTCGAGAAGCTCGAGTAATCATACGGGTGTAACGTTATTTCGATTTGGTTTCGAATACGACAGTTTGACGTTCGATTCGGGTGTTGTGAATAAAAATGAAAAGAAATCGTACGATATCAAATCGAAGCGGTCGACAACTGAGTTATCTATATAATGATTCTGAATCGGTCCCCTGCACTGCCTGTCTTGGGGTTTGAAGTAACGGGGAACTTATCACTGATATTCAAGAATAGTGGCCCAAACAAGTTACTTTTTTTACTTATTACACAGCTGCATTCAGAATGTGCTACTTGTCACTTGAGATTGTACGGAGTAGGGTGTAACCTTGGGGTGCACGAAAGGAGCCTCCCCTTACGACATACAATTGCTTTCCTGTACGTGTGGCGCACTCTGGACAACAATCATTGAGTACCTTACACCGACTGAAGATTTTTTCACCATTTCTTTATAGTGTATGCCATCAATACGATAAGATTTCATTTGAATAAGACCCAAGTATTCAATTGGTTAAAATCACGTGACTATATTGAGCCGGTATACGATTCGTCTTTGTGCGCCAAGTCCACCAAAATTTCGTTTCGAATCCTGAATTTCAAGAATAGGATTGACAATTGTGAAGGATTTGACATTTTATGCTAAAAGTCAGGCCGCCTTCAGTGATGGTCAGGTGCTAAGCGTAAAGAAGCGACAGGATACTGACGGACGGCGCCCTGTGTGGCGACAGCTCGGCCCTGGTCTCGCGCAGCGCCTTGCGCCTGCGCCGCAACACGGCCCGGGCACGCCGCATGCCCTCGCGCTCGACAAGCGCGCGGTGCCGCACGAACTCCAGCTCGGGCAGGTCCGCGCGGGACACGCCGGCGCCGCCTGCGCACCCACGCACCGCTCGCTTTATTCTTTATTTTACGAACAAGACGTGCGCCTGGCGGTCAGCGACACGCCTATCCATGACAGTTGCAACGCTACTCGCAAACATCTGAGGGGCACTGCCACTGCCCCGTTACCTCGAGACTTAGGGCGGTTTCAAATTAGACGTTTGGCAGCCGCGCGTCTGTACCGCTTCAGTAATTTCGAGTTCAATCATTGTGACTGCAAGTGGCGCACGCGTGACACGACTATGGCGCTGCATACAATATTTAAGAGCGCAGTTCTCTTAAATATTGTATGAAAATTACCAGTGGCATGGCTGCAGCGCCACTAGTTGTTAACAAGGCCCGTGTGCCCGTAATATCACCAGCGCTCTCACTCTTCAAAACCGGAAAGCAGTAATGCTCACATTACTGCTTGGCGGCAGAAATAGGTAAGGCAGTACTTCGCAGGACGAACTCTTTCACAAGGAACTCTACTATTAGTCAAATATTACTACTGCTATTCGCCCTTTTGTCTTTGCCTACCCCACTCGGAGTCAAACGTATGGTAGTATATACTCATCGGAGACATTTAGCGGAACAAAAACAGAAATATTTATATAATGGTATCTAATTTTTTTTAAATAAATAAGAACTATAGAGTTCTTAGGTTTTCACGATTGTTACATATAGGAAATGAAACTATTTTTTCGAATCTAAGTCGCGTATATTTGCTATTTCACACGAACAGTCACCCGCGACCATAGGGTCTGTAAAAGGCCCGAAACGTTAGTTTGTTTCATTTCCTAAATAAGATAAGGCTAAGCCTAGATAAGAAATAGCAATTACATAAACATTTTTAACATCGTCTTATCGATATCGAATATTAACGATGTTCATCATTATCATTGAAAACCTCATTCATACTCATTCATATCATTGAAAATATTTTTAAACTTCATAAAAAAGCAGAACCAGCTTTTTTTTAGATTAGATTGATTTAGATTTTAATAAATAAGAGTTTAAACGTTATTAAATAAAACGTTTTCAACCAATGATTACAAAATTTACAAGAACGCAAAATAAACCGTGTTAGTAGGAAATTAAAACAAATGAATGAAAAAATTGCAGTAGACTAACTAAAAAAAAAAGTAAGATAACCGACCATTGAAAAACACAGCATTAATTGGGAGTTAATTAGAGTTCCGTTAAATGTGCCGGTTTGTGTATTTACAGGTATTTAAGTAGTTGATAAACCCTTCAATTTGGACGTACTTACTATGGTGTACTTTATAAGTACTTACCTAATTCAGCAAAAGGATATCTCAAGCTATAAGACGGCTGGCACGCCAAGTCTGGAAACTGATCTTCCAGGTCGTCTAGCTTTCTCAACTGCTGCCTTAGGGATTCTAAAGGGCTCGACCAGCCTTCGCCGCGTCTAAAAAAGTAAGAAAAAACACCTTAGAGGGAACGCCACACGGGCGTTGCTTGTGCATTGCGTTGTCACAAAGGTATGATTTCAGCGCACCGAGTGCCACGCGAGCAATGAGGTCTTACAATTGCAATGTAACCCCGCTTACTTACGCAGCACCCCTTCGCGTTTCGTCTCCTAGCCCCTTGTCCAGCGAATACGCGTTCCGTCGTGTAGTTCTAATTTATATGTAGTACAACGCAGTGTCAACGCTCAAACGTCGCACCGCTTCTTATGCCATCGCTCTTCTACTTACTTTACTTCGTTTCAATCCATTTTAAACAAACAAGTCACTCACCCGACCATAGACGGTTTAGTGATGGCCAATTTTTTGTGCCAATTACAAATCGATTAATTAATTGAAGGAATCGATTTGTTTAATCGAGTCATACTAGCGCTTTTCATTACATAAACTATAAAAGCATATTTAAAATTTCCGAAATCTTAATTTTAAATCCTCCTTCAAATATTTACATTTTCGATTGACTAATCGATTACAAAAACTTTCATTGAATGAATTGAACTTTCGATGGAGCCATAGCCTTTAAAAGAAGACGAAGAAGAATGAATTGAACATTTTTTCCGTACTATGCAATTATAGATTATTCATCATACATCTATAATTAAAAGATAACCTAACGTTTTGACTACCATGTTTCAAAGACAATTTTACGATGTTATTCAAATGAATATTGTTGGAAAAAGTGATGAGGTATCAAGGCAAAATCTTTGAAATATACGTGAAAGTGTTACTTATTCGATTTATTGAGTGATTATTTTATAAATCCAACCAAACCGTTTAGTTTACATTGCGTGTAAAATGGATTGGAACAGACTACAACAACTTATTTCATAAATCTTGATATTTAATCACTTCAACTTACTTCGGTGAATAATTGAGACGTGATGTAGACGCAGATTTTAATCTCGTAAAACACCTTCTACGGCCGTGTCCTGCAAAAAATAAATTATTATTATTTATTTCATTCAAATTCGTGTATAGCAGACAAATGAGTAACATCAATCAATTACTCTTACAATTGATAATATCTTACCGTTAATAGGTTCTTTTGGTTTCTCGTCAGCGGTGGTAGCGTCCGATGAGTCCTGACAGTCTGTCGTCACAGCTGATGAAAGAAAAACCAACAATATGTCGCATTACGGTGATGTCAGTGATATGGACCTGTGAGGTTTTTAATGTTTAAGCCTGTATATATAACGATTCATTTATAAATTAAAAAATAGTATTTTATGAAATCGTTGTATAATGAAGGTTCTTAAAGTCGAGTACCGAATTTTAAGACCTAATTCGACCCCTCCTACGTAAAGTATCGTATTTCGAAATTGCCAAGTTTACAGGGGAGCGTTTTAAAGTTCTGAATTCACTGAAAGAGTGATCATCATAGATCATCTAACCGATATCTAGGATTTTATAATATTCTATGTGAGTAATGAGCTTTGCCGAATAAAACTGAGAAATGCTAAAACCACGTGTTATGTTCGTTTCATTGAATTCAGAACTTTAAAACGCTTCCCTGTAAACTTGGCAATTTCGACATACGATACTTTACGTCGGAGGGGTCGAATTATATAATGATTGCATAAAATATTATTTTATTAATAATAGTACCTCCGTCTCGATCCCGAACCCTGTCCCTGCTGCGAGCACCGAGCGGCTCGCGGAACGCCACGGCTGCGCGGCGGTGCACCTTCTTCGTCACTGGAGGGTGAGTTATGTTTGTGGGTGGTACCGTCTGGAGACAACAAGCGTTTTGAACTACAGTCTGTTTTTGTGAAAATGTATACCCCACAGGCATTTGCAGGGTTGTCAGTTTTCGTAAAATTTTAAATAGTCATGTAGTTGTGGTCGACAGTTTTATCGATTGATTGTGAAAGGTAAAATTTTGCTTGAATTGTGAATGTGATGTTAGGACGTTCTAATGATTACTAATTGCGTTATTGTATTCTTTACTCTTATTTTGACAGTTCGTCAATTAGTATCGAAATCAATTTTAGCCATACACATTTTAATAACGACTCGCAGATTATGAATATCAAATAAAAATGAAAAACCTCAAAATATGTCTCATATTTGTATTTCTTATAACCATGCTACTGAATTTAGTGTATGTATGCATGAATTTTCAAAAATAACTCAAAGGAACCTGTGCCGAGCAGTTGGACGAATGATGGGCCGATGATGATTAAAATGAAACAAGTTCGGCTATCTATTTCATAAGCGTAACCAACATTCACTCGATAGTTGATATAATATTTATCGACTGCAATCACTAGCTGCTTGTAACCGGGCAACAATTTTGCTCAATGAACTGTCATTTTACTCCATCTTCAAATAAGACAGACTAGAATTGGAAATTATACATAGTCTGTGGATGATGTGATTGCACAAATATTCTGACAGCGTATGTAACTAACACACTTTGTACAATTGTTTGTCATTCCTCAATAAAATCAACTATATTAAAAATTGCCTCCACGAATAACACAAGTATAAATCTTAGTATTTTGGGAATTAAACTATTTTAACCGCTTTCAAAAAATGAGGTGGGTCTCGCTTTTTGTATGTTACGCGATTACTACATTTGTGAACCGATTTCGATGATTCTTTTTGTTGAAGAGGTTGGTAGAGCATCGCCCTGGTTTCGCGCGGTCACAAGTTCTGAGAGTCCTGTCAGGTCGAAGGATTTTCTTTCTTTGTGTTCGATCTTTATATTAATAATTATTATTGAAGGAGTTTAACTAGTAGCTGGTTGAATAAAATAATAATTAGCAGTGTTAAGTAACGAAAAACTCACATTTTCCCTTTTCAGTTTCCATTCATCATTGTTATTGTCAGAAGATTTCAACGCATTGGATTCCGAGTGTGATGTTTCATTGTCGTTGTATTTGGCTGTGTTGTTGTTCGTGCGAACGCGTGGTTCGGGCTCTATCACGGCGCTTATAGATGTTTCGTTTGCTTCTTTACATCTGCAAAAGATATGTTAGAAGTTTGAAAACCGCTTTTGGTAGTTAATGTATGTTTATGACGAGTATAGTCTGTCTATTTTAAAGATGGAGTAAAATGGCAATTTATTGCGCGTGTCGCCCGCTTGTAATTGCAGTTGATAAATATTTTGTCGACTATCGAATGAATGTTGAACACGCTTATGAAATAAGTAGCCGCACTTGTTTCTACTGAATCATCATGGGCCCATTATTTGTACAACTGCTGGCCACAGGTCCATTTGAATTGTCAATTTTTGTAAATTCAGACATACATACACTAGATTTAGAACTATGTTAATTAAAAATACAAGGCGGAGAGATATTTTAAAGTTTTTCATTTTTATTCAATATAGATAATCAAATCCACCTGTTCTTGTTAAAATGTGTGTGAATAAAAATTTGTTTCGATACTAATAGGCCAACTGTCAATACGAGAATGTAGAGGGCAATAACGCAATTAATAATAATTAGTAAAGTAGTGAACGTCGTAAGTCGTAACATTAACAATTCAGAGATTTTTAGCAAAATTTTACCTTCTTTCACAATCTATCGATAAAATGTCGACAACAACTACATAACTATTTAAAATTTTATAAAACCAGCAACCCTGCAAATGTAGAGTCTGTTCCAATCCATTTTGAAGAAAAAGTAAACAAACCTGTTTGGTTACAATTCTAAAGCTATTACTCAATAAATCGAATAAGAAACACTTTCATGTATATTACGTAGATTTCGACTTGATATAGTATCACTTTTTCCAACAACATTCATTTGAATAGCATCGTAAAATCGTATTTGAAAAATGGTAATCCAAAAGTGAGGTTATTATTCATCTATCTTCTATGACTTGCCTATGGTTGCATAGTGCTGTTCGAAAAAAACATTCGGTTCAATCAATTAAAGTTTAGTAATCGATTATTAAATCGAACATTTCGATCGCAATCGAACGAGTATCTAAGTATAAGGATTTGAAGGAGGATTGAAATTAAAATTTAATAAGGAAAACCGCTAGTATGATTTCATTGATTCATTCAATTAATTAATCGATTTGTAGTTGACGTTACAATTGGCCATCACTAAATCGTCTATGGTCATATATGGTCTATGGGTCAGTGACTTGTTTGTTTACTTTTTGTTCAAAATGGATTGAAACGAAGTATAATTTTACTCCGTCTTCAAAAAAAAGACTAACTAGAGAAAAATAATATAAAAGTGCGTATTAAGAGAAATTATTCCATGAGGGGAAAAATTCAACGCAATAGATAAATATTATTAAATTCCATTTTTTTATGGGAAGGTAATACAAAGATCAGAAAGAGAGTTGGCAAGGTAGCCACGTTGAGGCGACAGACGCTGATTCTTTTTTTCTTTGCGTTTGTTCGATCTTTATATCTTTGTAAAAATAAAAGTAAAAAGTGCTACTTGTAACATTATTCGTAAAAATATAGATAGATTTCTATAACATAGATAGAAAAATGTAAATAGATTTCGGGTGACTACAGTGTGAGGAAATGTCACACTCGACCAATCACTAACTTGCGGACAGCGCTTGTGTGACACGCATAAGACGACTGTTCAGTCTTACCTTTCCAGAGACTGTGTTTGTTTGTGCGAGTTGGACTTTTCCGTTTCTGATCCCGTGGTCATACTCATCTCACGTCTTTTGTTGCGACGTTCTATTGACATCTGAAACAAGAAATACTCGTATATAAATATTCATATGAATTAATAAATAATAAATAAATATAAGATATCATCAAATACGTTGTTCTGATCCAAAAGTAAGTAGCTAAAACACATATGGTACCACAAACACTCAGTTAGAAAAGTTAGTTTTTCTACACTGACTCAGCCGGGGACTGAACCCGGGACCTCAGAGATGGTGACACCATAAAACCGGTATGCAAGCTAGCCCATCACAGAGGCCGTTCGTATCTACTACTAAATGTAGAAAAATTAATGTCACAAAAAAAAGTACCGCCCTACGCACCGCGTCTTGCAAATGTAACCCATCATAACATAAGAGATTTATAACAGATTTCTTGTCACGGAATGACTTTTTATTATCATCGATAACGAAAAAAGTTAAGCCGCTTGTAAGTAAAACGTCGGGAGAAAATTAAAAAGCTCCATATGTCATAAAAAAATTGGTCCTACAATTAGTGGAAAAGACAAAGCCTTATGATATATTACATACTAAGAAAAGTCTTGCTTGGATACAATTTTAACAAACAAAATCAGACAAATAGTATAAGTTTCGTGAAAAAAAAAGAGAGCTTAATTTGAATTCCTTAACGTTTATTATTACTAACATAACGTCAAAAATGATTATACTACTAATAGTTAATATTAACTATTTGCTGTTGAAGTTTCATGACTCTAAACAAAAAGATGGCACTATATTTAACAGTCTTAAGGGAATTTAGAAAACTTCCATGAGAGCCTTGACACCCGATTATATTCTGTGGAACATAAATGTGGTTTATAGCCAGGGAACGCCCACTTTACACATCCACGAGTTTATTCCATGGTTGAAAGGTTACAGATAGGCTAGCAGCTTTACGGTACCCAATGACTTACAAATTTCGAGCTGGTAACAGTTATTTATTTACTGAAACAGTATTACGTTCTCAACAACTTCACATACCTTAACGTCATGTTTCAAGCGCGCATACTTCTCCTTCAGGCAGCGGTACTTGTCCTGCAAGGCGCGGTCGTCGTGCCTCGTCGGCGCTAGACGTTCGCTCGCCAGACGCGCTCGAAGCTCTTCTAGGTGACAGGCGTGTTGGGTACGCAGACGTTCCACCTGGTGGACGGTCCACCAAAAATTAACTTCTTATACAGGTTGGCCCATTTAGCAATAGTCCAAATTTTTTTATAGATAATCCTCTATCATCACCCCATCCATTTAAAATAAACATTATAGTCGATTTTTTGGAAGACGGAGTAAAATGACGGTTCATTCCGCAAAAGTGTTGCCCGCTTGCGAGCAGACTATCGACTAAATATTGATCACGATCATGGAAATAAATAGCCGAACTTTTTTAATTTGGATTATTCTCGACCCAGTATTCATCCCATTATTGAGTTCATTTCAATTGTCAATTTTTATTAAGTTCATACATACATACACTGTATTTAGAACTATGTTAATGAAAAATACAGAAAGGAGACATATTTTAAAGATTTTCATTTTAATTCAATCAAATCCGGGTATTCTTGTTAAAATGTATTTAAAAATTAATAAAAAAAAAGAATATAGAAGGCAGTAACGCAATTAATAATCATTAGAATTCGCAATTCAGTAATTTTTGGCAAGATTTAACCTTCTTTCACAATCTATCGATAAAATTATCGACAACAACTACATAACTATTTAAAATTTGATGAAACTGGCAACCCTACAAAAGTTATTTCACTCCGTCTTGAAAAAAAGACAGTCTGTAGTTCCGAGAAAATTAATAGTTGAGAAGTCATGACTTCTTTTATTTTAGTGCTTTTGATATGAATGACCTTAGCGAGAGTTTTTATGTGTACACAAGTAAATAGTTAAATTTTCTAAAATTTTCTGACTGAGAAAAATGTACAATCAGAAACTTGCTAATAGTCTTAAAAGCTACCTTAAGATGTCGGGATTGTTTACTATTGCGTAGTCTGAGGCTATTGTGCCCCAAGCCAGAACCAAAATAGCAATCTCTTCTAGCGCCCACATTATTAGTTGTGCTGACCAACTCGCCAAAGAAAGAAAACGTGAACTCACCTCAGCCCTGTAATCATGTCTGAGCTCAGTGATTCTGGTATTGTGCTCGTCCCGTAAAGCGTCGATAGTGGCGCGGTTCTGCTCCGCTAGTCGAACTCGTTCTCTATGCAGGTTTGCTTGTAGTTGTTCGCGAAGTTCGGCGAGAGCTCGGTCGTTTTCTGCAAAGGAGTTTTCTTAAAATAAAAATATCTTACTTTGTTGGCCTAAGCCAGTCTTTTCTTATAAGTTATGTTTTCCATAACAATGTCTACGACTCTCTCAGTGGGGCTAGCACTACAGGACGCGTCTTGTGCGAGAGTGACATAAAACGCGAGATACTACAATTTTGACATAGAAAATTGCATGATCTCACGCTTTTTATTGCTCTCTCGCAAGTCGCGGCATGTCGTGCTAGCCCTACTGATTTTTAATTACCTTTCTGTGAGGTTTATCTAAACTTTCTAAACATAAAGAAAGGAAAATTATGCAAAAATTTATAAGTGGTCAAAGTGATACCTTTAGTCGGTACCTCTGAAATATTTATTACAAGATATTTTCAAAGCAATTTTTATTTTAAACATAACTTTTCATTCTATTTTTAGCCTTTCTATGATCGTGGCAGAAATTCTGTTATCAAACTTATACTAGTCCAGAACTTACCTATTACTAATTCTTTGAGATAATTCACAATAACAATTGCAACAAATACAAGATATTGTACAAAAAATCCCATAAAAGTCTCAATAATGACGGCCTAACTTGTACAGACACTGACCTATTTCAAGTTGATCACGCTTCTCAGCGAGTTTCCCTTGATAAAACTCTTTCAACTGGGCAATTTCTTCATTGTGCTGTCGTTCCGCGGTTTCTAAGTCGCGTCGACGACGCTCTTCCATTTCAGCTGTCAAGGCTTTAAGAGATTCTTGATAGATCATTTCCGATGCTGCTAATGCCTGGAAGAAATATATTGAAACTAATAGTAGGAAAAGTTGGATTTGATAAACTTAAGAGCTGTAGTGTACAAACGCTGAGATTCTTGATAGTACGGTACCTCGTTAAAAACAAAGTATTTAAAATGAAAGGCTTACCTCTTCCATCTCATTCTTATGCCGCTCAGATTGTTCGTCTAATCTCATTCTTTTCTCCGCTACAAACTTCTCTTCAGCTTCCCTCAACTCTTCCTGCAACTCCACTCTCATTTTCCTTTCTTTAGCGGCAAATTCTGATCTTATAGTCTCTAACTCCTTCTGCAACGACAACTCCAGTCTTCTTCTCTCGTCGCCTTTAGTCCTCTCCATCACGTCTCTAGCTGCCACATCTGGTATCAAAGGAGATTTTATCGGCTTCGGAAAATTCTCTTGAGATTCAAACTGATAGACTACAACTACATTATCACTGGATTTACCTTGCGACAAAATGACACCATCCAGTCTTGGACTTGTCAGTGTTTTACCAAGACTTGTTGCAGAATCCGAGGTTTTTAAGGGTGCTATAATAGCTTTGTTCGGCGGTTTAAAAGACGAAAAAGGGCTGGACCATGGTTTATTGAAGTCGTATCTAGGAGATTTTAAATCTGAACCAATGCTAGGTGTAGGAGATACTTTCACCTGATGAGGTTTGATTTCTATGCTATCCGTTCTTGAGTTCTTGCTGTCTTCTATTTTTTTGGAGTCATCAGAATCCGACTGAAGTTTGGTTTTTGTCAAATCTAGTACAGGAATTCTTATTTGAGGAATTGAAATAGATTCTACAAAGTACGACGATTTGTTTTGTGTTGAATTCGATGTTTTTGAAGTAGTTTTCTCTGAAGTTTCTTCCATTCTAGAACTGTCCTTTTCTTGGTTTTTTTCGGAGATTTTTTGCTCAAGTTTATCATTTGAAATATCTAATTCGTTTAAGTCTAAATTGGCAAACTCTTTGTCAGGTGAATCGATTGAAGTTTCCGATTCTATACTTTCCATAAGGTTTATTGATATCTTGTTTTTTTGTTGTGGTATCATTGGTGATCTGGAAAAGTTAAATGGAGGCATTTTACCATAAAAATGTTTGTATCCTTTAGCAGTATTGACGTTCAAACTAGATAACTTAGGCAGTCTTTTAAAAAAGTCATACGGATATCCAGTTCTCATAGGTTATTCAATTTCACTACTAATCCTAAATATTTATTAACTATTTATTTAAAAGTACGCGGTGGTAGCTCTGTGGGAAAATGGTTGGTCCTCAATTAAGACGTCGACGGCGACGGTTCGAATCTCTGTAGCGGCATGACCGATGACTTTAATTTCTAAGCTAATGGTGATGGAAAACATCGTGATGAAACCTGCATGTCGAAGAAGATTACCAACTTTTGGAAAGTTTATGAAGCCCCCAACCTACGTTAGGCCACCGTAGCGGACTATGACCTATATTCTCTCCTTAGAGGGACTTATAATGGGTTGATGGCAGAGATGGGAAAGCGCCATCGAGTATATAACCAGAAATAGCCTTATATTCCTGGTAACACATTAGCGATACAGCTCTTATAAATATTAACTCTCGTTTGCACTGAAATATAGACAGACCAACTACTGACGTGTGTGTACGTCTCCGTATATTCCAAAAAAATATTCTGTATTTATTGTAATAAAGATAATATCTCTAATAATGCCGTGCTGTTCTATTCGGTGGCATAGGAAAAACAGCAAAACATCTAATTACAAAACAAACGGAATCAAATTTCATCGGTAATTAAATATTAATATGTAATTTTGCAATTTTCGTCCATTATAGCAAAGCTCAAGTTAACTGGTCGAAGTGAAACAGTTGACGACACTCGTCAATTGTTTCGAACTCGGGCTAGCCAATCGGAGCGCAGTTGTCACAGTACTGATATGGCAGAATAGTTTTCAAACAAATTAAATGACGATGAATGATGATGAATGAATGAAGATGAATGAGTTTCGTTCAAATTTAATTATATTGTTACAAAATATTTATTGCTTTCTGTTGTAGACGATTCGATTCGCATTTCTATTAACTTCGATTGAAAATCGCATTGATATAAACCGATACAAAAAAACGTTAGATCGTAGGCACTTGTCGATTTTCGTAAAATAATAATGTAATGTGCATCCTTAATAGAGAGAATCCACTGGATTACAAGGTAAGTATTGTGTGGAGTTGCCACTTTTTCGTGTAAAAAAGAAAAAGATTTTTTACATCGAAATTTGCAATAAGTATAGAGTTATACCAAATTCTATATTCGTCGTTTCTGCCCATGATTTTGAACAGAAATGGATTAAAACCCGTAAAAGTTTTACAATCCACAATATCATATAAATTCAAAACATACCTAGGCCTAACTTCCTTATCAGCACTGGGTTCTTCTAAATGCAATGATGTAGGTTCTATTTCACCCGGTCGAACGAGGTCAGAGATCTTCTGGAAGTTCTTTTGAAATAAATCCGGCTTGATGTAATCTGCCGCTGGTGGTCTGACCACGCGGCGTCGCGGTGATTTGTCGCTTTCTGTATGTTAATATGGTATGAAATCTCAATAATTTAATAAAGTCAAATAAGATTCTTCGCTAAATCAATTAACAACAGAAGCCATCATGGAATCTATGGAACCATCATGTAAACCTCTTGCTGCAGAAATCATCCCATTTGTAAGAGAGCTAACTATGGATAAGTGGAGTAAGATCTATGGTGAGATTTCTGCAGTGAAAGGAATTTCGTACAAAACTGTTCAAGTGCGTCCACCGCGAAAGCCCTGGTTTGTGGACGGCTCACTTTCTAGTAATGCATTGGTCTTGACTTTTAGACTACGTACTGGTACTTCTACCTCTACCATCTAATAACAAGAGCGGAATTTCCACTTTGTAAATTTAATGAAATGTGGCCATTATGTGGATCTAAGAAGCCAATTTCAATTTATATATAGATATTTGGCAGCTTGGGGAGTTCAATGTTATGTTGAGTAACCCGTTGGCGAAGAAGGCTAAAACTCCATACCCATATGTGAGGTCTTGTCCCTCACTATATTTTACATAATAGAATAATCCACAGGGATTGAAATCACACTGACATTAAATATTAAAAATTAATTGACACCCAAATATTAAAAAATAAGATTAAAAAAAGATTCCTGGCTTTATAGTTTTTCATGTTTGTCCGGGCCACGATATTTAACTTGTCAGCAATTTCGCTCTACTTTTAATGGTACTTTGATAATAGAAATAAAATTAAAGGGGTATATAAATTTAGGGTTACATAGTTTTTGCTCTATGAACACCACATTCTGATAGGATAGGAATATAATATAAAAATTAACACCCGCAGGAAATAAAATGGAGGAAGGTGGTACATCTAGTGAAATGATCACCAACCGGGTAACTTACCACCAGATTCCCTGTCCGATCCAGCGACGCTCTTAACCTCCCGTGGACAGTCTCCTGGGCGTGGAGGCAGCGGCGGGCGGGCGGCCAGAGGCGATAATATAATAGGCGGGTTTAAAGGCACAGAGGGTATAGGTGGTGATGAAATTGGCGAGAAGGGGATTAGAGGCGAAGGGAGAGCTGGTGCGGGGATGGAAGCGACTATGGAACTCTGCTCATTTTGTTCAGAAGAACTGTTTGAACCTGGACTTATCGTTGGATCAGGTAAGTTTTCTAGTTTGAATCTGTAACAAGAATGCAGACTCCGTAATAGTAGAGTTTATATAATTTTAACCTGTGTTGAAGCAGTTTACAAACAAATGTGTTTACTTAGAACGAACTTGTGTCCACTGCACACCAAAGAAAAAAAGCAGAATTTTCCACAACCACGCTTAGTAGGGGTGACATTAATCGTAGACATGTAAGCTTGAATTTGTTATTATTTAGCTTTTGTCGACAAAATCATGACGTCAACTTTAGTAGCAATCATCGAGTATGTAACCAGAAATAGAGACGAAATAAGGGCCACATTTTCCTGGTAACTCATTAGTGATACATCACTTATAAATATCAACTTTCGTTTGCACTGATACAGCGCCAACAACTGACCTGTGTGTACGTCTCCATATATTCCAAAAATATTCTGTATTTATTGTAATAAAGATAATATCTCTAATAATAGCGTGCTGTTCCATTCGGTGGTGTGGGGAAAAACAGCAAAACATCTAATTACAAAACAAACAGAATCAAATTTCATCGGTAATTAAATATTAAATATGTAATTTTTCAATTATCTTCCATTATAGCAAAGCTCAAGTTAACTGGTCGATTTGAAGTGAAACAATTGACGATACCCATTGACAACACCAGTCTATTGTTTCGAATACGGGGTGGCCAATCGGAGCGCAGTTGTCACAGTAATGATATGGCAGAATAGTTCTCAAACAAATTAAATGACATTTCGTCTCTATTTCTAGTTATATACTCGATGGTTGCAATAGAGCTCCTTGAGAAAGAATTCGTTCAGGTAAGTCTACCACCAAAGAATAATTTGAACATTAAGGTTTTTTTATAAGATCAAGTGATGGGACGAAAAATGTGTGCGCCTGATGCTGAGCTACACGCACAGTTGCAGTGCCACTCAGAGCTTTAAATCGCAAAGATCTGAGGGGCACTGCCACTGCGCCCGTCACCCTGAGACATGAAAAGTAATGGTGCAGGTGAAACTACAGGCACATGGGACTTGTCAACTTTATATCTCAGCGGTAACTCTGGGCCAGTCATTCAACATAGAAATAATGCACATTGCATAAAAACGTGATACAAAGCCAAGATATGGCGACGCAAAATGCTGACCCCTTTACTACAGATCTTTGCGATTTAAAGCTTTGAGTGGCAATAGATAAGCATGTAACGTAAAAAATACAAAGACATACCTAACACTCTTTTTATCTTCATCCAAACTTGAACTGTGTCTCGATCGACCAATCACAACACTATCAGCTTTTCTGTTGAATACATCAGTTAGTTTTTCCCGAAGTATCCCTTTAGGAGGATCACTCTTGGTTATCGAGTCCAGTGGTAGAGACTTATCTGTGTCTGGACTTGGAAGATCTGACTTTGACATGCGGAGGAACATGTTGCCTTTCCCTATAGTAATATGTAAATGTTTAATATAAGAGAACAATGTATAAATATTGATAGGTTTCTTTTATATAGATCTTTCATTGTCATCAATCCTGCAATGCAGAAGCTGCTTTGAAATAAGTCCATATTAATGTCATCATTATATATGGGCTTATTTCCAAGCAGCTTCTACAATCTGGGGCAAAACTGTCACAAGATTGACTTCATTTCGACAGCAGACAACGGCGTATTATCATGCTGCAAAAGTATGGTAACCACATTATAATTTAATTAAAACTGCTATATAAAAGGTCTCAGAGAAGGTATGGTCTGTGGTCCGCAAGTAGTGCTCTCCCGAATCGTGTAATACCACGAGATCATAGAAAGATCCTTTGTATACCGAAAATAATATACCTCTAGATAGTAACAGTCAATTTTACCAGTCAAAAACAAAAAATGTTTAGATGTATATTGAACTTTCAAATTATTAACAGCAACTTACCTGTCAATGGCAACCCCCTATCAACTTTGGCACCACTTAATAAAGAACTGAAATTTTCCTCTTCTTCTCTTGATAGAACATGCATTTTCAAATCAATAATTTCTGATTGCTGCTTGAATAACATTTTTGGTCTTTCTAATGGTCTGCTTAGCAAATCTCTATCCGAAATATTCCTTAACAATGGCTTAGTATTGTCAACACTGCGTCTTAGAGGAGATATCTTCAAATCTCCGAGTTTTTTATCCAATCTTGATAAAGGAGCTAATGGTGGTCTACCTAGAGGGGCAAGTCTTTTAGGCATAAGGGTAGATTCTTTGATGTTAGATGGATGGTTTTCACTGTCAGTTGAAAGATCATCATCGTCGCTTTCTACTTTTGTTTCGACACGTTCGAGGATTTTCGTATTTTCTTCAGATGTTAGGAGTTCCTGAAGACAATAAAAAGATCTATAATTTATATGAATAATATGTTCCACATATATTGCACGCTCTGCATGCAGGATGAAAAAACAGCTACGCATATCCTACTACAGTGCTTCAGTGTGGTCAACTATGGGGTCGAATATCTTGGAATGCCAAGGTCACTCCCAAAGTCTTCGTCTCAGGAGAATGCTAAAACTCCTGGAGAAGCTGGTGGCTCGAGAGGCCTTTGTACCCGCCACACGTAAAAAGGGCGTTGTAATGTACAGTTGCGGAAACCAGATGTTACACTACACCACCAAACCAACATTCCACAAATACTTAAAATAACTTAACATAAAGATCAATTTGCGCAATAGATCTCGAGGATTGAGGGCAGGCTATGTTTTTTGTGTTGAGTTGTCACATACAACTAGAACTGTAAAGTAGCAGATCAAGAATGCACATTCATTTTAACATAGAAGAGAGAGGATGATTTGTGTCTTCATGGTCCATTAAAAGTGGACACCATGTTTTTGGGTCACATTAAATAAGTAAAGTGGATCATAGGGGCAGATAACATTGTTAAGCACAATGTGGAGAAACAAATAGGTAAACGCCAGTCAAATGAAATCACTAGCCTTTTGAATGCCTGAATAATTAAAACCTTACCTGTACAGAAGCACAAGTATCATCCTGAATAGAAGCATCGCGCGCGTGTTTCACTATCTCTCTATATATGTTGTCTAGAGGGTGTTCCCACTGTGTTTTCTTTGTTTCCTCATTATAGTAGTAATGGGTTTGGAGTTTTTCATCGAAACTGTGGAACAAGGGGTTTTAATTTGTATTAGTTGTATGCAAGCAATAAATACTAAAAAGATAAATTTTGACCCAAAATATAACGAACATTACAAACTCAGTGTTTTATTCAACTATCACTACATAAAGTTTTTTTAGGTCATGAATAATTTGGCAACATCCCAAAAACATTGCCCCAAACAATCAATTATTTCCTGGCCAATACCTACTCCCCGCTAATATTTACATTGTATAAATTATTCAAACTTAGTAACATAAAACTGACCACACATTTTATTAAAACTAAATACTAAGCAAAGAATCACTGGACCTACATAAGAACCTTTCAATAATCATAAATTTGTCGCAACATAGCACTTAGTCTTCCAAATCTGACATTGGCAGAATCGTCGAGAAAAAGATGGAGCCATGTCCATACAAAACTTTATTTAGCTTGATCATACATTTTCATACATTTAGCTTGACCAAACAGACATAAGACTGCAGTACTAATTAATATGTTTTAGTTTATTCTAATTTCTATTAATAATGAATAATAAATTAAACTTAACAAAAATTCATTCAATAAAATAATTTGTAAAACTTAATGTAGCGTAAATTGGAATGTTTTCTTTGTAGAATTAAAAATAAGGTATTTCATTAATAACTATTGTAACTATAGTGAAAAAATAGGGTGGATTGCATTAATATTAGACATAACTGGTTGAAGACTGTACCACCTCAGTCAACCGTGACCATGGGACCTGTAAAGGGACCGAAACGTCGGTTTGTTTGAAAAAACAAATATACGCGATTTAAATCCGGAAAAATAGTTTCATTTCCTATGTATAACAATCGCGAAAACCTAAGAACTCGATTAGATCATATTTTTGTTAAGACTAACCAAGACAAAAGATGCACTTTTTGATCCTATTGACAATAGCTGTTAATATGAGTTTCAACTGCAACTGTCTACCTCAGATTAGAAACAGAGATAAGCCCAGGATTCCACTCAGCACGTACTGGAGGAGTGCTCTGTGTGGGCTCCGAGTAGAACAACTTGGTTGCCTGGATCGGGCGAGATCTCTCTCTGCCAGGCATAGACAGCACTGCTGGCAGTTCAAGTATCCAAGGCTGTGGTCACCTTCCGTGAAGTGGTGATGTTTAAGGAGACCGCCAACCGTGATCGGGAGATGGCCGATCCCGCTCAGCGGCGGCGTAACTTCGCGGCTGCGATCGGAGTGGAGGCTCTGTTCGCCAGTAAGTTTGTCAGACGCGAGAAGGACGACGATGCGGTGTGGCCCGCTTTGTCGTGAGGAGGGGGAGGGTGACTACATAGTTCCTCTCTTCAAGGGTGGGTTCCAGTGATCCCACCCCACTAGAGCAACCGGGAAGGCCACGGTCGGGTTGAAGCCGGTAGAAGTTGAGCTGCCCCCATGGCAGAGAGGTATTCTAAGGAGATTTCCCCATCCATAAAAAAAGGGACAGAAAAAACTCACTAAGCTTTCCATGGTGCAGGTAGAGCTTGCATGAGCCCTTCCTTGGCCAAGGGCAGGAGGTGACTCTCGCTTTCAGGATCAATACCGAGCTGGTGTGCATATTCTGAGATTTCTGTAATACAAATATAATAGTAAATAAATATAAATAAATTAAAAATGTTATTTTACTTTACTTGATGATTGAAGGGTAAGGGTGCTGGTTACTACAGGTGCTGGTATTTACGGCACATGAGAATTGTTAACTTATGTCTCAGGATGATGGGTGCAGTGGCAGTGATCTTTGCGATTTAAGGCTCTGAATGGCACTGCAACTGCTATGGAGAGGCATATAGATTACCACCAGGCGCACGACTTATTCATCCCGATAAGTGATATTATAAAAAAAAGAAAATACTTATTCATAATTATCTATATTCAAAACTCCTCTTAAGTATTTTTATTTGTGCTAGGAGCTTTGCTCTCCCACATCACAAAAAGGAATGATAGAGTTATAAGTATTTAAGTTTAAAATTAAAGTTCATATAAACAAAACTAACTGCCATAATTAATATTATGATGTTAAAAAGAAAGAAAAACATAAGTTTTACATGCCACACTACAATGTATTTCAAATCACAACACTAACTTTAAAACAATATGCAGAAATGAGTCGGAGCAAACAATAAAAAAAAAACTTTTACTTGTACTTTAGTACAGGTATTTGAGTGTAGCAGTGTACTATCATAGGTAGGTATTCAATCATTCTAAGCAACCCACAATACATAAATTATATTAAAAAAAAACATAACTCCTCTAATAGAAATTATCAGATGAATTCATTCCATTAGGCAATAAAAAAAATTACTTCATGCATGTTTTCTATAACACATGATTAATAAGCAGCTGTGCGACGCATAGGTAAGGGTTCATTTAAGAATGATTAGATTTTGTAGTTAGTGCTTCTTTCTTTGTAAATTTGAAAATCACGTAAAGAACGATCGAATTAAAGCCCGTTGCATTTTTATTTACATAATAGCGACTTGAAGCTATATATTTCAAGAGTTTCAAGGGTAGTGAATACAAACCTTCAGCGGAAGGCTGGCTGTTTTCATCGAAAATCTCACGGCAGACTACCGCAGACGGAGAGCTCATCGCGAGTTACCATTCTATTTCACAATAAACAAACAAAGCTCATTGTAACTAAACCGAACGTTATCTTGTCTCACTAAATTCATTATTAACCAACCACCAAAAATGTAAAACCCCAAAAAAAAATGCCGTATGCCGTCGAGAAAATTTTGTCGAAGTTTTCAGAGAATTTTGACAAATTATTGACAGTTTATTTTTTCAGATCTCAGAGGTACGTTCAAGCGAAATGAAAATACAACTATATTATAGCAAGCATCCATTACAAGAAGTGCAAGCAAAACAATGTATAAAAAATTTAAAATGGCAAGTAATTTTTAAAAACAAAATCAAATTTGTCTTTGAAAGAAAACCGCTGTCAAGCTAAAGTAAAAAAGTTAAGTTAATTTGTCGTTTCATGTTAAAACCAAATTTTACTAAATAAATAATCTCATTATGGCTTCGTTAAAAGAGGTGGCTACACTCTATCAAAACCTGAAAACAGAATGGAACAAAAAACCTCGTAAACTCGACAAATGTGGCGAATTATTGAACAAAATAAAGGTAAGTTGTCGACGATGACTCGCAAAAATTTGCTTTGTGTTCGAAATATTCCTTGTTTTTTAAATAAATATAACTGTGTTACAGGTTGCTTTGACTCAGTTAACTTTCCTTCCGAGTAATAATATGGCTGCCAATCAAAAAGAATTGATTTTGGCAAGGGATGTTTTGGAAATCGGGGCACAATGGGCTGTGGCCACAAAAGATGTAAAAGCATTCGAAAGATACATGTCCCAGCTGAAATGCTACTATTTTGATTACAAGTAAGTCATGCTAGAGATTTCAACGATTTAGAGCTACGGAAACTATTACATTTATTTCATATACAAAATAACCTATTTTAAACTATGTGCCCTATACTTGAGTAGAACCTTCAATTTGCATAAATTCATAGCAACTATGTTGTTTTTTGGCATTATTGATTTAGATTTTTACCCTAATATACTCCCGGACACAATACAAGCCACTACATTGTCAGTATAACAATGTCCTTAGCTTAAATAATGTTTGATTGATCAATAATTAATTCAAGTTTGAAAGTAGTAAACGTCATTTTCAAAAGGTTTTGTTGAAAATTTGAATTTGCAAAACCAGGAAAAAGTCTTTCTTCAGTGATAATAATATTAGTTTTGTTGTAGCACTTGAAAAATCAAAATGCAAGATGGCTTGATTTATGTGTCTGGGAGTGTAGTTTCAGAATTTTTAAAACCTAATTTTTACAGGTGTCATTTAAGGCATCAAAACAAAAAATGTCATAATTAAATTTGCAAATCAACATTTCTGGGTCAAACACTATCCTTTTTGTATAACAATTTCAAGCATGTTCCTTAAAAAAATAAATTTGCAGGGATCATCTTCCGGAATCTGCATTTATGTACCAACTGCTTGGTTTAAACCTGTTGTTCCTGCTTGCACAAAACCGTGTAGCTGAATTTCACACAGAACTCGAACGTTTACCTGTTGATGCAATCAGACAAGATCCATATGTCAGACATCCACTTGCTCTAGAACAATATCTGATGGAAGGAAGTTATAATAAAATTTTCTTGGCAAAGGTTTGTTGCTATATTATGTAGTAAAACTTCATCATCCTTACACGCATCTAATGTTGGACGCATCCCCCTGACCACACGAACTCTCCTGGTCCTATGCTGCCTGCATCAGCCGCTGCCATCCACCTTTATTGGGTTCTCCACCCATCTTGCCACAGGGCCTCCTACACTACATTTGCCTTGACCTCGTTAATGACCTCATTTTCAAAAGAAAATTCAGAAAACTAGAAATAACATTAGTATTTTTGCTTATAAATGTTAAGCTCGCTGATCCTTAAAGTTAATAACTTTCATAGTTGTGCTTTTTAAAAAAAAATTCAAACCCTGTAGCGTATTGCCAAAAATTCCAAAAACACTTTCTTTTACCATGTCCTTCTATTTTTATGTTACTACTGCGTAATTACGATCTTATATTTTCCAGGGTAATGTCCCAGCAGAGAGTTACACATTCTTTATGGACACACTTTTGGACACTGTGCGTGGTGAAATAGCCGCGTGCATAGAGAAAGCATATCAGAGCATCCCCTGTGCTGAAGCTGCTAGAAGATTGAATTTGCAGTCGCAGCAGGATGTTTTGGAATATGGAAAAAAGGTAATTTAAGCAGGCAAGGAAAGATTCGTCATGGGACTTGCATCTTTAAAAGTACTTCATAGTCATAACTAGTTTGTTCCGTCTAGACCCTGTGATAGTCGCTGTATTAATTTTTTATATCTGTGTTAGTGTTGTCAGGAGAAGAAATATTGTTTTACCAATTTGATATGTTACTGCAGTGTGAGCAGTTTCATTGTAAGGACATTCCACATACTAAAACTTATATTAACAACCATTCACCTACCAATAAATGGACGTCGGGTCTAATACAAAAACAACGAAAAAAACATCCGAAGTTAAACTATACAAATGTAGTGAAAACAGTTAAAACATAAAATTTTTTTTTCTTAATGAATGGCTTGTGAGACTACATAGCGTCAATTCTGCCAGTGTCCAATTTCTAGTTTCATAAATGTTATGGAGGGTGTGTTAGAATCTTGTTTGGTGACTCAGATCCCTCTGAATCAGAAGAATCAAAGAGATTTTTGCACAAATTGAATTCTAGAACAATGGAGACGGCACAAATTAGACAACACAAGTCGTTAGAAACATGTATATATGTTAAATATAGTGTTAGTGCATGAATAATATTTACAGTTTAAAAAATAAATGATTTACATGTAAACATTAAATTTAAATTGTAACATCATTGCAGTACTGCCTAATTTTGTTTGCAACACTTTAAGGGCCCAAAACACCACATTTAGCTGGAAACTTAACAATTAGCAGCATATTTGGCTTTGAGTGAAAATTACTTGAATAAAAGAGTAATGGAGCAGCCTTTACTGTAAATGTTAATACATTTTTATATACATTATATTATGAATTTTGTACAAATTCACTTAAAGAAATAATAAATGGTTGGGCAGATACATACATACAAATATTACAAATGTGAAAATTAGAGTGTAGTACAAGAAATGTACCGATATTCCAACGAAACGTAAACTCAAAATTTTCAATTTAGATTTATAATAAAACCGTTACGCTTTCAAGTAATTTGGATGCCCAAGGACAAAAACAAAAGACAAGAAAAAAAGACAAGGATAAAATTACCTTTTGTTTTGTAATATTGCTAAAAAATACATTTCTTTTCTTCATTCTTACTTCTGATTTATATTAATGATCTGCCATTCTTTGTTAAGGACCATTGCGAAATAGTGTTGTTTGGTGATGACACATCCTTGATTTTTAAAACAGACAGACATGACATTAACTATGACCGTATTAATGATACCCTCTCTAAGGTAGTTCATTGGTTTAATGCTAACAATTTATTGCTTAATGCCAAGAAGACAAAATGTGTTAAATTTGAATTACCTAACGTAAAATCGACTAGTCCAAGCATAGAAATAAACGGAGAAAAGTTAGACCTTGTTAATAAAGCAGTCTTCTTGGGAGTGACCTTAGATAGCAAACTTCAGTGGTTTCCACATATGTCGTCTCTGGCCAGCAGATTAAGCTCCGCTGCATACGCAATCCGCAGAATACGTGAGCTTACCGATGTTAGTACTGCTAGACTTTAGTTTACTTTAGTTACTTCCATAGTATAATGTCCTACGGGATTCTCATGTGGGGTAAAGCGGCAGGTATTGAAACCATATTTGTATTGCAAAAACGAGCGATTCGTTCTGTGTACCGTCTAGGCTCTCGGGTATTTCTCAGAGAAAAGTTTAAGGAGACTGGTATCATGACTGTGACATCACAGTACATTTACTCAAATATTTTATATGCTCGTAAAAATATACATAATTTCAATAAGAAAGAAGATATCCATAATATTAACCTTAGAGCTAAGTCCAAACTCATGGTACCACGATTTCGTTTAACCAAGGTAAACAACTCTTTTATGGGGAACTGTATACGTTTTTACAATAAGATTCCGGAGCATATATTAAGTTTATGATTTCCTAAGTTTAAAAACTACATTAAAAATATTTTGATCGAAAAATCATATTACAAAATTGAAGACTACGTGTTAGATAAAGATGTGTGGAAAGACGACATGGCTCCAGAATCCACACAAATTTTATTCAAAGTGTATTCCATAGCATTTAAGTTTATTTGAAAAGAGCAATCCCTAGAGTTTCTTGCTCGTTCTTCTCAGGGAGGTCAGCGTAGTGAAGAGCAGTAGCTTAAATGTGACGTTTTCAAGTGTAAATTTATTTTACCTATGGAATAAATAATCTTTGACTTTGACTTTGACTATACATTCAACATTATGAAAATTCTAGCTGACGTTATTTCGGGCAAATGTATTTTCTGACTTCTGATATCAATTTATTTATCAAGCCGTAAAACGAGTATAACAATATTTTGTTAGTGATTGCTACCGTTTAATAGAAAATTACAATTAAAAATAAATAAAAATATAAGATTAATATCTAAACGACTATAGTTTCTTTGTTCTAAATACACTCCCGGACACGTAATTCGAGCCACCTCACATTTTCAGTGTTTAATGCCCTTCGCTTAAACAAAGTTTGATTGATCAAAAACTATTAAGCAATTTTGAAATTAGTATACTAAACGTCTTTTCCGTAACTCCATGTTGGGGATTTGCAAAACCGGTAGAAAACTGTGTCTTCGACGATAACACTACTTTTGTATTCTAGCGCTAAGACAAAAATGCGAGGTTGCTCGAATTATGTGTCCAGAAGTTTATATAAGTTTCTTGAAATTGATATAAATAAAATACCATCTTTTGCGCATGCAATGTGTAAGAAAAAAGACTGTTGGCTATTTGATTATTTTGTTTGCTTTTGTAATTTATATTTTCTATTCATTTATATATAAAATAAATACTATACAACTGTACAAAATAACACTTTTAAATGATAACTATGATAACACAATATATTTGTTTAGTGAAAATATGATACAAAAACCTGGTTTTACATTTTACTGCAGTAATTTTTACAAGTTATTATTATATGTTGTACTGCATGATTGACAATCGAGCTGCCAGTAGAACAAACGAAGACTATTGCGCAATTGACGCTCTGTATGCTATTTTAACACCCTATAGGTGCGGACACTTTTTAGCGCGAACCCGACGTCCTTTTGTTGGTAGGTCAATGTTAACAACTATTTTTTTATAAATAAAAGCTAAATATGTAAACTTTTTCAGCGTAACTGGGTACTGGGCTCAGACAACTGCTACCACTTCAACATGGCTGGAGAGACCTGTGCTGCATCCGCTGGCGTCTTCCCCTCAACGGAGCTTGCTGAACAGACCATAGAGTATGCTAAACATCTTGAAATGATTGTGTAGACAGGCCTTTGTTTTGCAGTGTAGTATCTAACAAGTATTTTTTTAATAAATTTCTTTTTAAGAAAGTATTATTATTTTCCTATATTAGCTCTTCATTTGGTATTGTAGGAACCATTGACAGAATATTATAACCAAGAATTCCGTCACTTCGAGCGTAGGGATTAGGGTAAGCCCAAAGAGATGTCACCCAAAGGTAACTATTACATTGGCGAAATCGCCATTATTTTTGTATAATTTTTATGATAATACTAAACTACCGTACATAGTTATTTTTACTTGACATTGGCAAAATTTTTTATTGATTATTTCGATGGGGCCATAACATTTAAAAGAAGAAGAAGAAGTAATGCGCCCAAAGGTTGGATTTTTCAAGAATTTAATTGTCTCAAAATTAAAATTGTACTACACATAAACAAATGAATCAAATCAAAGGCTTCATAATCATTACAAGTTCATTTATTTTCTTAAAAGTATCAAATCACACTTAGTCATTCAATGGGTGTAAATCATCCAGTTTCACAAGTTTTGCATAGTATTCAATTGCAATTTTCAAATTCCAATCCTTAAATTCCAAGCACCTGTAAACATTTTAAAAAAGTTTAAATGTTTATAGCAATGATATTATTTATAATATGAAAATTTGTCCCCTAAATCATGCATTTTCTGACGATAGAGCTTACTTCTCTGCGTGTCTTTTTTCCGCCTCAGTTATTTTGACGAAAATATCTAGTAATTTTTCTTTTAACTCTTCGTCAGGCGGTGAATCCAATTTTAACGATGGTTTTTTGAATTTCAACTGAAAACGGAAACAAAACATTGAACTTAAAATAAATATATAAAAGAAATGTTTGAAGTGTCAGCAGTTAATTCAACCATAAACATTATTTTACAAAATATATATTTGAAATGGCAACATCAATGACATCGATTCGGTCGGCGACGCTGTCAAACGCCGTTAGTTGAGGAAGCTCAATTTGTTTTTTTTGCCAAAAAATTAATATCTGAAACCTCGTGTAAGTTAAAATGAAGAAAAATCAGACACGACAAAAGACAATAAGTGACCCTGTCATTGTTTCACGAGTGAAGAACTATCTCGCGGAGAATGTCGACAAGACGTACGTTGATGTCGGCCAAATGGCGCGTTCCCTCAAAGAGCGCTACCGTGAATACAACAATCGGGGTGATACCGCATTTTGTCAATTAGTGGAAAATGCCTACAAAGTGGTTTTACAAAGTTACGGACTAGACGGGGCGTCTACATCGGAAGGATCTGAAGAAGAATCTGATTTAGAACTATTAGACGAAAACAACAGTGCACTCAACGATCGGATCCTTCAAATGTACAAAATGCAGGATAAAAAGCGTCCGGCGACTGCTCGGCGTCCTACTGATAAGTCTGGTGAACCGATAGACATACTTAGTAGCGATGAAGATGGCAGCGCCGCGCCAAAACTTCCAAAAATTAGCGATCAAATAACCATAACCCCACATATTCCGAACAGGAATACTAATAGCATTTCCATTGAAAATGCAGCAAAATCTCTACAAAACCAGCAGAATGCTGACAAAAAGCGAAAATTGGATTCGAATAAAAATATGAGTATGAAGAAAAAGTTTGAAATTTGTGCTTCCAAACATGTTAAGGTTACTTTTGATGATATTGGTGGAATATCGGAAATAATTACACAAATTTGTGACCTTATTTTGCATATGAAGCATCCAGAAGTCTATCATCAGTTGGGCATCAAGGCTCCAAGAGGTGCGTTATTGCATGGTCCACCAGGCACAGGAAAAACTTTATTGGCACACGCCATTGCTGGCAAATTGAAGCTACCATTTGTTGCAGTGACTGGAACAGAACTTGTTGGTGGTATGTCAGGAGAATCAGAGGAGCGTATAAGGGAATTGTTTGAAAAAGCAACATCAGTTGCCCCTTGCATCCTGTTCATTGATGAGATTGATGCTGTATGTGGAAACAGAATACATGCTCAGAAAGACATGGAAAAACGAATGGTAGCTCAATTATTGGCCAGCTTAGATGCTTTGAGTGACACCAACAGTTCTGTTTTAGTTCTCGCTGCCACAAACAACCCTGATGCCTTAGACCCTGCTTTAAGGCGAGCAGGTCGCCTTGAACAAGAAATTACTTTAGGAATTCCATCTCTTAAATCTAGGAAAGAAATACTAGAGATATTATGTAAAACTTTGACACTAAATGAAGATGTTGACATTAATGCTATTGCTCAAATCACCCCAGGGTTTGTTGGTGCTGACTTACAGGCGCTTTTAAATAAAGCTAGCACTTACGCTGTGAAAAGAGTATTTGCAGAGATTCACGCAAAAGAAAAAGCGCCAGTTACTGAAGTAACAGAGACCGCTATATCTAAAGAAGTTGTTGATATTCCTAATGGAGAAAAACAAGGTGAAGAAGCTAAACCAAATGACACAGGTGATGCTCCTGAAGTTTCTGATGCAACTCCCACTCAGTCTGCAAATGTTGAAACTCCTGGGCCAGAATTAAGCAATGAATCTTCTACAAATGATACTAAACAAGAGACTGAACCTACACCAATAGACACAGTACAAGAAGTATTAGCATTGCTTGAAGGTTCCAAAACATATTCAAAAGAACAACTACTTGGATTATCAATCAAACATGAAGATTTTCTCAAAGCACTGAAAACAACGAAACCATGTGCGGTCAGAGAAGGTATAGTGACAGTCCCCGATGTTACATGGGATGACGTAGGTTCGTTAAGCCAAGTTCGTAAAGATTTGCAATTGGCTGTATTAGCTCCAGTGAAATATCCAGAGCAATTGAAGAAACTTGGTCTAGCTGCACCAAGTGGAGTTTTGCTTTGTGGTCCTCCAGGATGCGGTAAAACTCTTTTAGCCAAAGCTGTCGCCAATGAAGCTGGGGTCAATTTTATATCAGTGAAAGGACCAGAACTGCTAAACATGTATGTTGGGGAGAGTGAAAGGGCAGTACGCACGTGTTTCAGGCGTGCTCGTAATTCGGCACCTTGTGTAATATTCTTTGACGAATTTGACGCGCTGTGTCCGCGACGAACTTCTCAAGACAATAATGGGGCAGCAAGAGTTGTAAATCAACTGCTCACAGAGATGGATGGTATCGAAACTCGTGAAGGAGTCTTTGTTTTGGCCGCGTCAAATAGACCTGACATTATCGATCCAGCAGTTCTGCGACCTGGACGATTAGATCGTGTAATGTATGTGGGTATGCCAGCAAGAGAAGACAGATATGATATCCTGCAGAAACTTACTAAGGGAGGTGCAAAACCACAACTGAGCCCTGATGTAGATTTGCAAGTACTAGCTGGTCTCACTGACAGTTATACAGGGGCAGATTTAGCAGGATTGGTCAGGGCTGCTGCAACTAATGCATTGACAAATCATATTTCAAATGGTACTCTTGAAGGGGATATTTTTGTGACATTTGAAGACTTCAGAGCTGCTTTGGCAAAATGTAAACCATCTGTTTCATCCAAAGAGCAACTGCATTATGAAAAATTGCGGTTGAAATACGCATCTGGCGCTGATGATAAGGATATGGAAATGGAGACTGAGCTCACAAATGAAGAGTCTATGGATACTGTTTGAGAATCATTTAGCCGTTGGTTTATACAAACCTAGTAGTAATAGAGGTTTCTTTCTTATAAGAGTAATACAAAACAATAGTGCCAAGTGTTTTCCTTTTAAGCGAAATTCCTTATAATCTAAGTGAAGAGATGTAATTTACTTATAAGATTTTAAAATATGCCGTGTGTCATGAAACATTTTCTAGAATAAGTTTCAGTGGTAATATCAATGTTTATTTTCATGCATTTCAAGTGTTAATTGATACATACATAGGAGTCATATAAATCTTGCACACTTTAAAACTCAGTAATATGGTACCTAAATAAAATTTAATTATTTTATGTCACACTTTTTCATTATGCCTTTCAAGCTCATAGAAATTTATTTTAAAACCTTCAATAGCATTCAACTTTGTAGAATCTTCTTTTCGTTACATAAACAATAAACAGCATAGTGTAGTTCCAACAATATTATGTTAATACTGCCAGCAAGGAATATGATGTCTTTAAAGCATTCTATGTACACGCCTTATACTATTTCGACACTTAAAAGAGAACTTAAAAGATATACTGTGTACACCTACAAAGGTAAAGAATGGTGGGGGTCTTGTGTATCGAAAGTGTGTGTATTAAGCACAACATTTCAAAGATGCATGTATTCCTTGTGCCCTAATGAACTGTCACTATAATTCAGTTTCAAAATTTTGACTATAATAGTAAAAAGCCATGAATAAATTAGTTGCTTAAAGTTTCAAGGTAGTAGATTTTACAAAAAAAACTGACCTCAAGTCATTCATCCCCTAGTTTGCCACCCTTAGAGATGAATATTTACATTTTCGTCAAATGTAAATGGGACCATTTCTGAGGTACCCTCTTTCCAACAAAAATAAGTATCGCCAAAATCGGTTCACAAATGCAGTTATCGCGTAATATACATACAAAAAAAGCAGTCGTATTGAGAACCTCCTCCTTTTTAAAGGCGGTTAATTACACGGTTCACAGTAGGTTAAGCTAAAAAGCTTATACATTAGCGACTTTCATGGGATAACTAGCCAGAAAACAAAGGCCAGGTTCAATCTTGAAGAGTTCTCATTTAACACAGTGTAAACCACTAGGTTACGGAGGTCATAATAAATAAAGGCCATGACTTACCGCATTAATGTGAAACGCCTTATGAGCATAATCTCGGCAGGGTTCTTCCCAATATAATAGTTCATTTTGTATCTTGTACTCAACACCGTTGGTTGTACTCAGCACCACTGTACGAGTGAACGCTAGTAAATGCTCATCTTCTGCTAACGACTCTACTATTTGCTTCAACATTCCGTTTATTCGGATAACTGTTGATGTGTCCTGTTCAAAATTTAATAAGTTTAATAAATTTAATTAATGCAGTGAATAGCGACATCTCTCGCCAGGACTGGTAGCTGTAAAGGTACCTAACTGGGTGATAAATCTGTCAAAGATTTCTCATAGATGGCGCTACGACTAAAAAGTCGTTGAAAAACCAAGTACAAAGACACGACGCAAGCACATAGAGAAATTCGTGAGGTCCGTTGGTTCGTTCCGTGGCTTAGTTGGTATAGCGTCTGGCACGGTATGCAAGAAGACGTCGGTTCGAATCCGACCGGGTCGAAGGAATTTTTTCTGAGTGTTCGATCTTTGTATTAATAATTATAACAAGTTTAAGAGATATTAATTTGTGTCATATCTTGTCTAATTTGTGGTGCCTGCAAACTATTAGGGGTCATTACATAAATCTAAAAATGGTATTACTTCTGGCAAAATACAACAAAGCAAATAAGTAAAACAAAGTAACAATACATTGATAATATTAGAACATCGAGTATATAACCACTCGATATCTATATAATAGAATACGTTGCATTCCTCGTTTTAATGCTTTGTAGGGTCGCGTCACGAGACTGCTGCAATTTGAGCGACCCTAATGTCTACTTGCATTAAACTTAAATGTGTCTTAAACCAATGCTTGCAATCCAAAACACACTCTTAAGACATTGTGTTAGGAGTGTCTTATCATTTTAAGCTTAGTGCAAGTGGACATTAGTGTCTTAAACAAAACAATACAGTGGTAGTTGCTCAGACGGAGAATGGTTGCTGGTAAACTGTGAGGTCCACGATTCGAATTCCTGTGGCAGCAAGGACTTTAATTTCTATGTTACATACATTTATGAATGTTTAATAGCAATATCATTCGCTAACGATGAAGCAAAATATTGTGAAGAATCCTGCACGTCCGAGAAGGTTAATAACCCTTGGAAAAGGTGTGAAAAGTAAACCTTCTCCTAAGAGGAGTAGGATTTATTAGCAGTAGAGCTCTTTGTAAAAGAGTTCGTCCAGGGAAACACTGCCATATAATTTCTGTCGCCAAGCAGTAAATTGAGCATTACTGCGTTCCTATTTTTTTATAATACCAAGTGACGGGACGAACAAATCTTGCACCTGTTGGTAAGCGACACGCCTATCCAAAACAGTTGCAGTGCCACTCAGAGCTTTAAATAGTAAAGATCTTCAAAGCATACTGAGACGTAAGTTAACAAGTCCCATGTAGCATCGTTACTGTTCCAAACCGGAACGCAATAATTTTTATTTATTTTATTTTAACTTTATTCATACAATGATAGTTACAGTTTTCGAAGTGAAAAAACATGAACAGAATAATACTAAACTAATATTTAATAGTATTTGTCAGCAAATTCTTACTAACACCTTTTACTAACAAGCACCTGAAGGAAATGGCATATGATGAGGGAATCACATCTCACTGCCACTGTCATCAGGATGAAGGTGGGGCGCAGTGGTGATACTTCCCTGGTGGAATCCTTTCACAAGGAGCTCTACTCCTGCGGTGCCACAAGATCTCTGCGTTGACAGCTCTAGGCAGTCGTGTTATCGGTAGACGTGTGGCTTACCTTACCGCCAGGCACAATTTATTTATCTCGTTACTAGATATTAAAAAAAACACGTCGATATAAACCTTTGATACTCACGTTATGATGGATAACATCAACATTAAATGTATAAGGGTCGTGTTGCAACATAGGCCATTTGTTGATGAGCTTAGCGATGGACGTAGCTCCTTCCACGCTCTCCATTTCGCCCTCTTCAAAGGAACGCGCTCGTAAAAAGAGATTACGGTAATAGCGGTAGATTGGTCTGTATCCTGTAGATATGAATTTGCTTTTAAAGGATAAAGTATATTTCGGCGCCCACTGACGGGACGGCAAGAGATCCTTCGGCATCCCTACATGCAAGACACTCACGGTAATTATGTCGCGGCGTCCTTAAACATACTATAGCGTGCTGAAGCACTGTGTCGTGACATCGTGGGTGCCTCCCCTCTCTTTCCTCGCATACCCACATAGTTAACTGCCTCCTTGGCCGAACTGTTACCATGCCGGCCCGCCACGCAGAGGCCCCAGGTTCGATTCCCGGGCCGAGAGAAATATTTGTATGGCCTACATTTTGTTTCTCTCGCGAGTTTGGGTGTGATTTGTGGTTGTCCATGTGTGAGTCCATGGCACCCGCGGCACAGAGTTTTCCTAGTGCGGGGCTATGTTGAGTGTGTGCGTTGTTATTATTATTATGGTCACTCGGCGTCCCGAAACCTGCCGAATCATCACATAACAGCAGAGGCATCCCTAAGCGCATTTGCGCACTGTATCCGATTCGTATTTGTTCCGAATCCGAGACGACACAAATCTAAAAAACTCGGGCCTACTTCGGATGTCGAATCCGAGAAAATACAAATATCGCTTGTACACCTAGAGATAAAATGACACTTAGGACCGCCATTATTGATTCGGAACTGTGGGTCTACTCTCGATCTCCGTCCGACATCCGTCCAAAACAATTACTGCCAAATAAGCAATACTTGACCAAATGAAAAGACGCGTGATGCGAATGATGCTTCATATTTGATACTTGTCTTTTAGTAATTAATAGATTCAGGCGTTACTTTGCAGAAGTCCATGTTAATAAAAATGGAAGTAAATTAATTTGCTACTCCGCGAATCCAGTTATGGTTAAATCGTTCAAAATAGCTGCGCTTGTGTTGAATATTTTTTCAGCACATCTAGTTTGCTCGATTTAACCTTCACTTCACCTTCACTCCGGGAACCCGGAGTAGCAAATTAATTTACTTCCATTTTTATTAACTTGTCTTTTAATTTTGTCGAATATTACTTATTTGACAGTAATTGTTTCGGACGGAGATCTAGAGTAGTCCCCCTGATACGAATAGTGTGCAAAGGCTCTAAGGCTGCCGAGGCATTCCAGAGACTGCCGGCTTGGCATCCCTAAACGAATCCCTAAATATGAATATTATCATTGAAATTGCAACTACAATGCCATAGGGTATATTACTATTCGTCACTTAAAAATCCCTTACCGTCGCGTCCCTTCAGTGGGCGCCGGGCCTTAGAGTGACTACTAAAGAGTGAACGAGTGAGTGAGTGTATATAAAATATAGCAAACACAATGTTTATGAAATGAAACTATTTTTCCGGATTCAAATCGCGTATATTTGTTTTTTCAAAGAAACCGACGTTTCGGGCCCTTTACAGGTCTCATGGTCACGTTTGACTGAGGTGGTACAGTCTTCAACCAGTTATGTCTAATATTGATGCAAACCACCCTATTTTTTCACTGTAGTTACAATAGTTATTAATTAAATACCTTATTTTTAATTTTACAAAGAAAACATTCCAATTTACGCTATGTTTACGCTACATTAAGTTTTACAAATTATTTTATTGAATGAATTTTTATTAAGTTCAATTTATTATTAATTAATAATAGAAATTAGTACTGCAGTCTTATGTCTGTTTGGGATTTTTCATTAGGGTATTCATACATCAAGTATTTCCTCTTTGTAAAATTAAAAATAAGGTATTTAATTAATAGCTATTGTAACTTAGTGAAAAAATAGGGTGGTTTGCATCAATATTAGACATAATTGGTTGAAGACTGTACCACCTCAGTCAACCGTGACCATGGGACCTGTAAAGGGCCTGAAACGTCGGTTTGTTTGAAAAAACAAATATACGCGATTTAAATCCGGAAAAATAGTTTCATTTCCTATGTGTAACAATCGCGAAAACCTAAGAAAACAATAATGTTTGTAGTTAGCATTTAAATTATTCCTCTTTTAGATGCTATATTACTTTGATAATATATTTAAGCAAGGGGTTTAGACCAATTGTACAATAAGCGTCTAGTCGCGGGCGACTGGCCGTAGTAGTAGTTTTTCTTCAGTGGATATGCAATCTTTCATATGTTGATCTCTCAACAAAGTGCATAAAAGTAACAAAACTTTGTATTTTAGTCATAAGTAAGTCTTGTGAAAGTAATAAACTTATCAATTCTTCATTAATTATCAATTACTCATTCACTCAATTATTCACATATGAGTTACAGTACCCGTTATTAGTGGGCTCAGCTTAGATAACAATTCATCAAAGGAATATACCGACATTCGTGTGTAATTGAACAATTTCATCAATAATCAACAATCCGATGTCTTTGCAGATACAGATTCAACACTAAGCGCGAGGTTTATATACCTATTATTTATATAGTAGAATTTCAAACACGTTAAAGAGACTCATACAGAGACTGCCATTCGAGCTTTAATGGGTCGGTTCCACATTGACAATCCTGTGAACACTAATCGTTTAACGGTATAAAATCATTTCCTTTATTTTTTGAATTAAGCCACTTTCATTCTAAATGTGCAAATTATACACACATTTTACGACGTCCATTTTGAAAATAAGAATATCGGCTACGGCTGCAGTCGCTCAAAAATAGCACTTTTTAGTTTTGCATTAACAAAAATCAGTAAAAACAAACTATGTAAAAATGCGTAACCGAGGTTTTCACTCTTATACGTCGATTTGGACTCTAACTACACAATCACAATGGAATAGTTCTTCAAATTTTCGCTGTATGTGTTGCAATAGCGAATTTGATCCAAGACACGAGAAAGCACCAGCAAGATTTTTCTAAATTCCAAAATATAGTATTGAGATCAGGGTTAGCCTCTATATATTTTAAGACTTTCGTGGTTATTCACTAAATGATTATCACTAATGACAGGTATCCAGAGTTCTTTTTATTTTCTCGATATTTCGGTTAATTGAGTCAACCCGTGACCACCGAGCGTGTAACCGTTCCGAAACATCGGGAAATTAAAAGAAATCAAACCAGGTAAGAAACCTGTAATTAAACATAATCACTTAGGGTTAGTCTAGTTGATTACTTGCTTTTACAGTAAATTGTCATGAAGCCTGCATGTATTTGAATTCGTCAGCGAGTATTGTGGAAATTGTCTCCTTTTCTGGAATGATCTGTGCCCAGCATTAGGGCATAAACGAGTTGATGTTCATGAAATACCGTTAGCCAAGTGCTGATTTCAAACAACAATAGGATTAGGATTATACGATCACCTTTCGAATGTCACATTAAAATATAAACTCCAACTTTAACGACGAATAAGAAAATAGAAGTATAGGCTCCTTATTTACCAAATGAAAGCGGAGTAGAGCCCTGTTTCAGCAACCAATAGTACTATATTTTATTGGCTAAGGGAGCCACCACAGTAAACCGTATGGAATCGACTTGAGCCATCCGAGCCAAAGCGAAACGTACAATGTCTTTTTGGTTCTATCTCTCTAACAAACTATGCATAACTACATGTAAGTGTAGTGCTGTCTGTATTCGTGTAGCCACGCCTTAATTTATTTTCGTTTTAATATAACAAACAGCAGAGCAGACTTGATAGAGCATTTCGACACCAGCAATTAACACTATGCTAACTTAAAAATTATTATAACATCATTTTTAAAAGGGACACTTGCGATAACCTTTTAATTTTCAAACATGATTTGTGATGATTTATGATTATTGTCTTTTTACTACGAGTTATTCATCATCATATCATAGATAAAATATGTGATCATTACTTTTTTTTTTCATTTTAAGTTTAATTTAAATTAGCTGTTTGGCATTGCAAAATTGGCAAAATTCGAGTTAGTGCAGTGTTAATTGCTGGAGTCGATTTGCAAAAGTTCCTACTCGTATTTAAAAAAATATATTTTTGTTATTCACTCCCGGACACATAATTCGAGCCACCTTGCATTTTTATCCCTAGAGAACTAGAATATAAAAATATAGTTATCGTCGAAGAGAAAGTTTTCTCCGGTTTTTGAAAATTAAATTTTCAATAAGGACTTGAGGAAATGACGTTTAGTATAAAGGTTTCAAAGTTGCATAATAGTTCTTGATCAATCAAGCATTGTTTAAACTAAGGGCATTTAATATTGAAAATGCAAGGTGGGTCGAATTATGTGTCGGAGAGTATATTTTCTATTATTGTTTGTGGTTTATTTAATTTTGCACGCAAATTTTTGGTTGGTGAAACAAGCCATTTCTACTCCGCTTTAGTAATGCCTTACGCATATTATAACGATGCGTGATTGTAAGCACAGCTTTCTCGTGGTACAATTCTTCAATACGACCGCGGTCTTCGTGAGGTGATTCGAGCAAGTTGAAGAATACTCCAAGAAACTTATCCGTTATATCTTTAGCATCTGTCGGGCAGTAATTACGTTTGTTTTTCGGAAATTCGCCTTTGCGTTGAAATTGAACGCCATCCTGTGAAAACCAGTTGCAAGTTAAAATAATATAAATAAATAAAATAAAAAGTTTCTTTGTTTAGGATACACCCGTTAACAAATTTAACATTAATTTTATTACATAACATTTAGATTCAATTTTATTTAATTATTAACATTAGTGAAGTAAATAATAAAGAATTAAATTAAATTGGATTTACGTTACAAATAATAAATATAATTATAATTAATTTGTTTATATTTAAAAAATGGAGTATTCGCTTAAAAAGTAGCATGTATCGCATACTGTCCTTACAATAACATTAGCCGAATCGCTCACTCTCGTAAGAAAAAATCAATGTCTCTTACGTATTATGGCGAAAAAAATCATCTACTCTATTCACGGTAAACATGCCAGACGCACTACACCGCCAGGGAAACCGCATAGATATGGCCAGACAGATTTGAATCAATATACGAGTACTAAATAATAAAGACATTCATTTGTCTACCTAAATAATGTGGACACATAATCGTAAATAAAAAACAGGTATACTTAAATTTGTACTCAATTGATATTCAATTATTTTTGTGAAAGAAAACTGGTTAGAGTGTAAAGGAACGCAAAATTATGACATGTTATTTAAAATATGTAAGATAATTCCTGTTGAAAAAATGTCTGCTTTCTCAAATATTACAAGAATAATCATGAATACAAAGTACCAAAAAATTATAATCATCCAACAAGACAAGCAATGATGGGCAGCTATGAAACTTTGAAAACAAATAACGTATATGGTAAAAGAACTAAGGACTATTTAATTCCAACATTATTTAATTGTCTTCCGTCACACTTAAAAACATTAAAGGTGGTAAAAAGTCTGTTGAAAAAGATGAAATAAACAAATATTTCTAAGATACAATGTAGGTAAATATTGAAAAACTGTAATTTTGGTAATTGAATGTAATGTTTACATACACACAATATATTTATTTATTAGCTTAATATTACAGTCACATAAACACATGTTTATGTGACTGTAATATTAAGCGTAGCAACCAAATTCTCCCAACAAACTTTCAAGAAGTTTGGGAGAACCTTATTTTATTTGTAAAAAAGTCATTGTAAGGATAAATAAATAAAAAAAAGTTTGTTATAATTATTAATACAAAGATCGAACACTTGGAAAAAATTCCTTCGATCCGGCCGGATTCGAACCGACGTCTTCTAGCAAACCGTGCCAGCGAACCAGCGGACCTCAGGAATTTTTCTATATGCTTCTTTGTCGGATCTTTGTAATTGGTTGTCATTGACTTTTTAGGTATACTTGTACAGTACAACTATTTTTTTAACATCTCTCGGCAATCTTCGGATTTCCTAATGCACCCGAATACAAATTTCTATTTTGTTCTACAGTTACCACAATTTCAATATTTTCCCCTGAAATTTCTATTGACAACAATAATCGTGAAGTCATGTCTGTAATGAATTTTGTTCAAAGTAGTCTTTAACGCGATACTTACGATCTCAACGAGCCCTGGATATATCATCCTAATAATTCTCACATATTCCCTTGGGTCAATGTAATCGTGACACAGTGGGTTTCCTTCCAACTTAATAGTGTGTAAAGACAGCTCTCTGCATCTGAGTAAAGTCGTCACTCTTTCAATGTTATTGTACGAGAGATCTAGATGTTTCAGTTTTGGAGTTGTTTTTGGGAGATCGAAACCGTCTAATGTGCTGGAATAATCAAATTACAGTAATTAATTAACGCCTGAACTTTACTTGTATTCTATGGTAATTGCACAAAAAATACGTTAAAACCCACTTAACAAAGGACTTACAAGGTGAGCTTATCCATATATCGCTCAGCTATTACAAGTGTTGTAACTCAAAATACGTGAAATACAATATTATATTATTGGTGAACGCATAATTTGATTCTCTACAAGTCAGCAAAAACATCGTTAGAATATTGTAAGTAACAATTAAAAGTTAGCTATATTTAACTCAAGACGAAGAAAGTTTTTGTGAACTAGATCTGGACAAAACAGTCCTTACTAAAAATATGAATTATTTTTTGCCTTTTATTTTTAAATATATTTGGAAAATAGGCAATTGTTTAGGTGGCTATAATAAACTTTAACCTATACATGAATTGTAACAATCTTTCACGAGTAGTGAGTAATTAGTTTTTCATCCAATTTGAAAAAATACACTTTTTGGGTTAATTAATTCCAGGGCACCCATTCAAGACCATTTTCCAAATTGGTCCTACCGGCAATCGAATCCAGGACCTCTTTAACTAGCAACCACAGCGCAAACCCTTGGGTCACTTAGGTCGTCAAAACATATCAGGTTTCAACATTTGCAATCATGCACGATGGTTTGTGAATAACATAAATATCACTTTTAAAGTGTTGTTTTTCCAATTAATGTTTGAAAAAAAAAGAACTTACGTAAGTCGATTATGTGAAAGGTCGAGATCAGTAAGGTAATTCCAAGCAACAGTGCTTTGTAAGGATAGCAACTCGCTCTGATTGGTCAGACGATGCAGTGGAAAGTAAATGAAGTGGCTTATGTCTGAAAAGACGTTCAATTATATTATAAAACAAGGTGCATATTATGTAGTTTAATTCACAATAGGGGCGTTACCACACTTACTGACACGGAATTGCATTAAAACGGTAAAAAACCTGTGTTTACTTATTTTAGTTTATACGCGACACACATGTCCGGTACTCACTCAGTTTTAAGGTCCACTGAAAATCAGCGTCACAGCCTTTTCGCGGCGGTGACATTAGCTGAGTGGATCCTTTTACATATGCCACAGCAGCACATATGACGTATACTTAGTACACAATAGTGTTGACTATCTTTGTATTTCATTACCTATTACTAAGATCTTATTTTTAATTCATTTTATTTTATTTTTGTTACTCTAAGTTGTTCCAATTTATCTTTATCTTTTTTTTAATTTCTTACTGTGTATTTTTGTGTTATGCCGTTTTGTAATAATGGTTTCCATTCTATAAAATAAGAGATAAAAAGCCGTTGTGCGTTTTGCATCTGTGACGATGCGACTCGGCGCAGGCGGATCTGCTTCCTGCAAATTTCCGATTATGGTCGACCAAAACCGAGGATGACCGATTGGGGGCGCCGATGCCCGAACGACTTCGGGAATGCGAAGGTCGGGAAGACCCGGGCTTTTGGCGGCGAAAATGCCCGAACGGCGGCGTTGAGGCCCGAACGGCTGCGACGATGATGAATCGGATTAATGAGACAAGTGCGATAAACATATCGCCTAAAGCCTAATTAAAACTTACGGTGTATACACAGTACATATTTTGAACAATTATTAGTTGCAATAATAAAAATTCTTGTGCACTATTAATTTTGGAAAAACACAGTAGTACGGGCTCTTTCAGTAATCATTTGATTAGTTCAACTATACATAATTATACATAAGCGACGACGAATGCCGAGTGTGTATCGGCAATTTTACTATATATTTTTCCCAAAGTGAATCAACCAAAGCCATTTGAGGTTGTATCGATTCTTAAGAGGGAGCAGAGGAAAAATTTCTAATCTTCGATTTGATTTTAGCGGGGTAAATCCACTTTAAAGTTAAAAATAAAATATTGTATTTGTAACTACACGATATATTAAGACATTAATCAGAAACATAAAACAATAAAGTTTCCTCGATAGATAAAAATCACGAAACGACCTCTAATTTTCACATTTTATCGATTTATCCTCGAAATGCTACAGGTTATTAGGACAAAAATTAGATAATTAATTATATTTATGCATGATCGACAACTGTCACTACGGATTTTTTTTAATCCCTTTAGTTTTAGAGTTATTCCGCTAAAACGAATTTGGTACTTTTAATGCGCAAAATTCAACATCTCCTGGTGCATGTCACGTGAACTTCAGCCATATATTTGTTTCACAAATTTGGGCGGAGCCAACGTCAAACATTTTTTGGCATGAGAGCTCTTGACTATAATTACACGTCTTCAGGCCTGCGCAAATAGGTTTTGTTACCTCAAGAAGTGATCCTTACCTGATTTAAGAGTAAAAGCACTCAAATCTAGCTGCCTTTCACCGTCATAACCTCGCGAGAGTACTTTCCGTAGCACAAGTCTCGGTATAAAGTCCAGCATATTGATGGACAAGTCTATATTCGATATCGTTATGCTCAGTTCGACGTCGTCCTTACGAATGTTAAACCCAAGCTTGTGAATTGTTGATAAGGCTGCTCTGCTACGGATCACGGCGAATTTGCATTCTTGCGGTGTGAACTGACAAGAAAATACCATGAGAAATAGACTGAACTGGCAACCGGTAATATCTCAATTTTGACAACTTTACAGGATGAAGAAAATATCATTTATATATCTGATTTATTAAATAAAAATACGAAGTGTACATACATACATACATGTGTAATAAAAATAGTTAAAAAAATTACGTATTTTCATTTAATAAATTAGATGCTATATAAATGACGCAAACAATTTTTTTCTTTATCTATAAAGTTATCAAAATTGAGATCAACTCAACTCAACTCAATGTCACTTTAAAATCGAAATATTTAAGTTATTTTTTTTTAATTACCAAGTGACGGGACGGACAAATAGTGAGTCTGGTGTTAGTGACACGTCATAGCAGTTGCAGTGCCACTCAGAGCTTTAAATCGCAAATATCTGAGGGATACTACCACTGCGCCAGTCACTCTTGAGACATAAATTGGCAAGTCTATGTGCCTGTTATTTCACCAGTACCCTTATCCTTCAAAAATATAGTAATGCTCACATTATAGCTTGGTGGCAGAAATAGGCAAGGTGGTAGTACTTCCCTGGACGAAGTCTTAGCTTTAAATAAAACTTTAAATAAAAAATGGCGCCTAGTTGTCTTGGTTTTTGTTATTTGGGAAAGATTAAAAAGTTTCGTTATAAAAGTACAAAAACATAAACCGTCTGATGTGTGTTGACAGACCATACATACACTTAAGAATTTTATATTAAGATAAAATATTCTTACAATTTATATTTCTTTTTTTTTACATTTATTAACATTATTATTCGACCTGGGTAAGAATCAAATTGTACTCATAAAATATTTTTTCTGATTTCTATTTAAAAAATATGTGTTGATAAACTGAAAATTAAATTCATTATTTTTTTACATTACTCAAAAAAAAAACTTTTATGTTACGGTATGGCATAAAAAGAAAATTAAAAACTTTTTCAAAAAACTTCCAATAATTACCTCTGTAAAGCAAGGTATGAAGCTCTTCCCCTTCAAATTGTCAAGTAAGGCATCAAGCACTTGTTCCTTTCTCCAACTCGACGGGTACCCCTTGAGTGCCACTTGTATGAATATATTATCCTTCTCGTACACCTCTTCCATTTGCTCTAGCTCCAAGATCATGACTGACTGAAAATATTTAGAAAAATGCTTAAGCTTAGCCTATATAGTCAACAGAACAGTCACTTTGTAGCATGCGTCTTGTAAGTCGCAAACATCAGTTGCAAACAAAAGTAATGTTTAAAGTCTTTTCACATCATATTTACTTGTTGTAAGACAATTTAGATATCAAAATAGGTTGACAATAACTAGTAACATAGTATAATTTTATTTATTTATTTAGTTCAGGCCACATGACCCCTATAATATATACCTTAAGGACTAACATACATACAATATAATAAAACACTATTTCTAACTAGTCTACACGAATTGCACTTGTCGGCGATGTGTGGTGCAATTTGGTGTCAGGTAACCGCCGACATAAGACACCCTTCGGCCAAAATTCTTCCTTCATGAAGGTCGAATTGAAACAAACGAATTGAAATTCCCGTTGTGGCGGTACTCCAACTGCTCGACCCTCAAGGTGTATTTGGCTTTATGTCTGATGTACTTCATGTACTCCACTATCTCCTCAGACTTCGTGGAGTAATGCAGTCGCGACAGTCTGTCGGTGCTGTGCCACATTGGTTACGGCTGGTGGGCTTCCTCTTCTTCTTCTCCACTTTTGTGAAGCCGTCGTCGCCGCACTGGTCCATCTGCCTCTGTGGTTTTGCAACTTCAGAGACAGGCACACGGGGATTACTATTTCCCCTAGCAGATTGCCGTCCTCGTATTTGAAAGTCGCTGGTCGGATACTTGAAGAAGAATAATAAGGCCAGGTATGGTAACTCCATACAAACGTAGCAGCGCGACTTGTAGGCATGCACACCTGACGCGCGTCATGTGCGGACGCACACATTAGCAAAATCTCGCAGCGCACTTGCATTGCAACCGACCGATAGAATAGAAACGTTCGCTCGCTGTTTAAAAACGTAATGTGTATTGCGTTTATGGTTGTCTGAACAAGAGAGCCTGAAATTCAGAATTGTTGTTTTTCTCGATACCTACTGAACATGAAGTAAGTCACACATATTTTATTTATTTGTTAATTTAACAACTTTGGAGGCCCAGCGGTTAGCGCTATGGGCGATAAATTGGTTCTGCAGCTTGATTTTGATTGCCACTCCTGATCGGAAACTACGTTTTTTCAGAGTCGAGGCGCATAATTGCGATTCACAACTGTCCGATCAGAAACTTTTGACATTTCTAATCGGAACAATAGTTGATTTAACTCACAAATTAGAAAGATATAGGAATCAGGTTCATCTTCTCGCTCAGAAACACATCTGATTTCGAGACTACCCGATCGTATTGATTCCAATTTGAATGAAAATCAGCACGCTGATCTGGGCGTCGCAGGCCACAAAAATAAGTCCAGGTAGAACGGTGATGATACACTTTATTAAACGGATGAAGAGTGCCATCTTTTTGACTAACGCCTTGAGAATGCATAATACTGAAGTAACATAAATATTTTGTAGAAGTTGTATTATCAAATGATGTTTATGACTTGAAGGAAAACTAAAATAATAACGTGAAAACCCTACGCTCCAAGCGAAGGTAGATATCGATGCGCCGAACAGGCGGGAGTTACCTAAGACTATGCTATTAATATGACTTTGTGAATATTTTATCGTGTACACTTTTTAAGATTAACGAGAGACAGCTAAAAAATCTCCACCTGCATTGGGTAAGCATGGCCTATGGTCCTCTTCTCGGAAGCCTGTGTATGAAGTGCTACTTAAATGAAATATTAAGCACTTTTCAATAGTTGCCACAACTATATACATATATGTATAATAATAATAACGTACACACTCATAGCCCTACACTAGGAAAACCCTGTAACGCGGCTGGCATGGAATCATACAAAGCCAACCACAAATTACATCCAAATTCACGAGAGAAATAAATGTAGGCTACAAAAATATTTCTCTAGACCCGGGAATCGAACTCGGACCAGCATGACATACGTTCGGCCACTGAGGCAGTTATTACAGTTAAAACTATTGTGGTTACATCTGCAGAATTTAAGACAAATTTAGTTAGTACCTTTGAATGCCGAGATGTAACACTCCTCCTAACGTTTAAATTTCGTTTCCACGGCCAAAACGTCAAATACTTTTGGACGATCTCATCTGTACTCTCTAAAATGTCCTTGCGCTGATGTACTGGCAAGTATTTGTCTTCTTCTTCTGTTTTATCCACTACTTCTCTGTAAATTTGGAAATATTTCAGCGTTATTGCTGGGCGGTTTATATGCTTGGGATTTCTCTGATGGACCGAATCCCTAACGAGGTTATATGTCAGAGAAATTTCATAGATATTCTAAAAATGGCGATAATTTCTATACTACTATGCATATCCCAATTTTATACCTGTTATTGAACAAGTAATACGACCTCCTATTCGAAAGTGGGATACACTGTAAGGATAGGAGTTTATAGCAAATCCTCCATTATTAGAAAAAATTAAGTTCTATAGTGTACTCCTGTAAATAGAGTACGGCAATTATATATTTACTTCGTTGGATACTGTTTATAAGTATTAATATAAGTTGTAGGGCTTTTAGCACCCTGTATTATTCGTGTGACATTATATAATCACCGCTCGAGAACTTTTTATAATATTAAAGCGTGAAACACACAGAGAACGGGTGCGGGTCGGTTCAGGACTGCGGCGTGTCTAATTCCGTGGATTTATATGGACGACAACACACCGAGCACTGGGCGCACCCGCCCATAAATGCACGGAATCAAGACCCGCGCCGAGGACACGCTCTCTGTATGTTTCACGCTTAAGTGATGGGATAACAACTTACATACTATATACTACAACACTGTCGTATTTTTTTAGAAAATTAATGTTATTATTACCTGACGGACTGGTCACTATTGCAAAGTAAATTAATTGTGAGCTTCGGCTTTTTGGGCTGCGAGGGCGGGCCAAGGCGCTGGAAAGCACTCAGGCGTTTCTGGCCAGCTGCACTGTTTGGAGACAGGGAACCGTCGTTTAGCTCTGAAATATGAGAATAAATTGTTATATGTCACGTTAATAAACGAACGAGTAACAAGTGGAATATCCTGTCTTTAGACTTATTCCTCGAACTTTACGGGTAAACACGCGAAAAAAATCGTTTCACTTCCGACTAAAGTCCTACTTAAATCTGAAATATCTATTTCGACCCAGAGTAGGGCAAGCGACCGGGTTTTAACCTGGCACTTGTTAATGGATTTAAATCGGGTTAAAACCCAAAATCGAGAGCAAAACTATTTACAACTAAATATTTTGTAATAAATAAATAAAATCGAGTTTTGTTCAAATTTGAATTATATTATAACAAAATTTTTGTTGCTTTCTGATCTATACGATTCGACTTGATTTTCTATTGAATCGACTTGCTTGAAAATCGCAGTAAAATAAATTGATACAAAAAATTGTTAAATCGTACGCACTTGAATCGATCTTCAAAAAAATCGATTCATAATGTGCATCCTTAGTAGTGACATGGAGCAACAACTCAAAATGTATACTAATCTCCATACTACAGATAGTAACTCTGAAAAAGGACAAAATTCCGTCTTTTGTCTAGATGGCGCTGATCGTGTTTGTCCCAATGGAATTCCTACTCGGCAT